GAAATAACGGCAACCTGCCCGTTGGCGTGCTGCCATCGCCCGAACGGTCCGTCAATACATGCACTTGGCTGTGGTCGAGCACGCTTGTAACGCCGCAAGATTGAACTAATCGATAAAATGCTTCCTGCTTTTTTTGTTGGAAACTTGGCCTTGTTATTGCGAGCTGTCGTCAACGGGAACCTTAAAAGAATGTGTGTACGTCTGGTTCTTCGCACAACTCTTAGACAGCCAATCGCTGCGATTTAGTGGGAAAAGAAAAGAAAATACTAACCAATTAGAAAATTAAAATAGTTTGACCTAGAAATATGACCTGCATTAAAGCACCCATCGAATTTCACGCGCCCAGCTTATACTACTTTTTTATTATTATCTTGACTTACTTCGCTTTTCCAGTAAATGTTTTACGTTCATTTTTTGTTCCGTGAGTGGAACAATTCATATTTCCGGATACTTGCTATTGCCAAGGGCACCCCTGAGTGCCAAGAAAACAGTGCAAAAACAACACCTTTCTTTCCTCTCCTCACCTACCTCAAAACGTCACTACGATGTGGCTGCACTCGTCGCGATGCGCTGCTTTCAGTGTCTCTTGGATGACGTCGTCGTAGTACCCTGGCTTAAACCGAGCGCCATACGTACTATATGGTGCCTCCGACTGGTGTAAAATCTACAGCGTCCTCATTTGTGGCCCCTGTCGTGACACTTCAGAAGTCGGAGTGTCACGAGAGCCTGACACTCCGGCTTTTGTGACGTCATTTGTTGCCACTTCAGCGCCACTTTTGATGCATGCGCGGTAAAAGACGCTAAACACAGGTCGCTATTGCGCAAGCGTGCAAATTGATGCGGATGGGCAGGAGCAATGTGGCGATCGTCAATAAGATACCGTCAGACAACGCTGAGGTTCGTTTGCGAATACCGTATTGCTGCTTATCAAAATCCCCTGCATCATCGTATATGTTCCTAGTGTATACTATATATATATATATATATATATATATATATATATATATATATATATATATATATATATATATATATATGCGCGCGGTTTTTAGCGCTTTCTTGTACTGGCGGAATCAGCGTGATGACGAGATAACGGGTCGACCACAACGTGCGTACACTTTCTCCCTCTGCAACGGAGCCTAAGAAAAACTGACCCAGATACTTAATTATCCTTTTTATATCGGGACTCTTCGACGCCGCAAAACTAGGAAAGAGGCCAGAGAGAGCTCCATGCGCATTTCAGGGAACCGCTCGTGGCCAAAAAGTTTCCAGCTGACGCGGTCGCCCCATGCCACCTATAGGAGACAAGGCCCACACATGACGTCATCGTTGGTGGCTCCCCGACCCGCTCCAAGCGGTAAAAATGCGCTGAAGCTTGACGACGAGAGACACCGCAAACCGGCAGACGCATACGTCTTGGCGTCGCCGCGCGTGCCGTCGCTCTCGTTGAGACGCTACAAAAACGCGCTGTCGACGATGCTGACGCGAGCTGCAGCAGGCCTTGTCTTCGAGGCGGTATTGGGTCGCCGCGATGTTTTTACGTATGCACTCGTCGTAGTATGTAGACGCGTCACGTGCCGGCACCTGGCGGCGTTACATTCCTCTTCCGGTCGGTCTGGTTTGGGCAGCGTCCTTCCAGGAAGGGAGTCCAGGATTGAAATCTGCAGATAAGGTCGCCGACTCGCCGCCTCGTTGTCTCGCGCTGCTGGGGGCGCTTCGTGCGGACGTTCTTCGGTCTTTGCCGCTTTTGTTTCGCGGCGAAACGGTTTTTGCTTTGGTTGGAAAGTTGGTTTCGTAGCCTCGTAATGAGGAAGAACCAGTTTGTGGGATCCGGCAACAAGCTCGGCGCTTCTGACGCGAGCACGTAATACGGACGCCGACTTACGTGAAGGCAGAACGGGGAAGCAAAGCGGCTGAGCAAATCTTGGCGGATGTGATAAAGGGGCACGATAGCGGGGTTCAGTTGCGGGCACCGTGTCTATACTTAGATTTATCTCACGCTCAGTCAACTTCTATATAATTATTATACTTCTGACTTGTGACTACGCTTGTGAGGTTGACTGTAAAGCATCAGCCACGAAGAAGCAAAGTATATCGCGAGTGCTAAGTGTGCTGTCAGCTTGAGGCTTCCAAGAGGCCTCTCTTCAAACGTCCGGGAAACTCTACTGGGGATCCGTTGTCCGTACAACGCGCGAGTTTAATATCTTTATTCACCATGTACAAGCCTGGTGGGAGGAGGGGAGGAGGGTATATTGCGGACGATTACGCGACATGCTGCGCATGCGACATTTCGATCATATTGCGTCGTGATTGAGTGGAAATTTCGGTGATGTTGCGTCAAACGCTAATGTAACTTTGTTTTTGTCATTCTTTTTTTGCGCGCGGTGATTGTCACGTGCTTATGCACCAGCATTGCGTGGGCACGTAGTACACAGCTTAAAAGGCTGTCAGGTCACTGTCCGGGTACGACGACTGAAGAACCTCGTGGCAAATCACCGGCAAAGACACCAGCGTAAACCACAACCGATGACGAACAGAACAAACTAGCACAAAACACGTTCTCGCGGATGCGCTGCGCAAATTTCTTGGTCGCACCAGCGTGTTCATTCTTCGTTCGGTAACGTTTTCTTCTGCGTGCCGCTTCGCGTTCACGCACAGCGTGATCTTGACGTTTAATGCGTTCCATCCTAACACACAGCTGAAATCGCGTCGGCGCCTACACATTGACGACCTTATCTCTCACGGGCGCGTTTACGCCGTCGAGCAGCCGCTGCTTGCTCCGACCTATGCTTCGGCCGCTCCATTCTTGCGCGCGAAGGCTTCGAACAGGGGTCTCTAAACTCCGGCCCACGGGCCAGACCCGGCCCGCAGATGACCGCGGTTTTTTCACTGATGCACGGCCCGCGGCCCGTTGCTATACAAACGCAAACATAAAAACGCGTTAACATAAAAAAAAATGGCACCGCGACGAGCATTAAAAGCTCAAATGGTGACATAAGAAATTAAGAAAAAAAACTGCATCAAAACGCGGGTTCTCTCACCACACAATTTATTGAACATTGTCATCACCAACATTTCTACTCGTAGTTCCCTGTTCCATGTCCGCGTAACTGGCAATGTGCATTTGCGTTCTTACGTATATCCTGCTTAGTGTCTCGTGTCATCGCAGCGGCGTGCGGTCGTGTACCACTACCGCGTGCACGTTAAAGACAACCAGGCTAGTGGTTGTCCTGCACTGGCTAAATTGCTCATCTACAGCTGAGGCCCCAGACGCCCATTGGGACTGACTAACTTCCAGCTGTACAAACATACACGCAACACGATTAATTATTTTCGTATCATATAACGCTCGTATAAATTGTCGTCATCAGATCTGTCATTCTCGTTAGTGTTCTGCCGCTTGGCAAGATGCCAAAGTTCCTATGCGCTTTGATTTATGTTGGTGATCAGTTATCTTGGTCACAATAGACCGATCTCACCAGCCAGTTTGACTACGCCAACGCTGCCGCAATGCATCGAGGGAGCTTTAGTCTTTCTGCACGTGCGACAACCTCGCTGGAGCTCTGCGCGTGTGGAGCATGAGGCGGTACGAGCCGTCTTGTGCACTGCTGCCTGCCTCCTGTGAACTAAAGTTATGGCGGCGTCACGCATGCGCCGAACGCTTGGTGAGATCGGTCTATTAATTTGTAATCTAATAATTAGCAACATATTTCAGTAAAAACAAATATACATCTTCATCCACCTCACATTTTTAAATGACTGCTATAGTTAAAATTGTTGCATCTAAATGCTTATTTAGGCTAATTTATTTGTTATTTCCTCGTTTGTATTGCATTATTTGTTTTCCGGCCTTCGAGACTGTGACAGGTCCCCAATCCGGCCCCTTAGCCAAGACATTTGGAAATCCTTAGCTGAAATCGCCGAGGGAACGGGCGACCGAAGACCAAAAAGGCAGGTGGCGAGGAGGGCGACGAGCGCCGAGGGAACGGTCGACCGAAGACGAGAACGAGCAGGTGGTGAGGAGGGCCATCACATGACCCGCAGCGTCATCCCAATTAGCCGAACGCGCGGCTCCTTATCCACGACTATTCGTGGCGAGAAGTTTGGGTATCGCCACCTGATGGAATGTTTTCACAACCCAGAGTAAGGATACTTCAACTTCCCCTGCTGGTGCAAGCACGTGCAAGGCCATGCTTCTATGCACCATGAAAATTTAAACATAACCGCGTGGGTAGCACGTGCACTACACCGAGTGAGGAAAACAGAAGCGTAAAGGGGTATTCACACGAGGGAAAAATCCCGGGGATTTCTCCCTAGCACGCGCATTCCACGACGAAAACGTCAGGCTTTGCGATGTGCAAAAGTCTCGCGTTTTCATCTCGTGATGCGCGCGTGCCGGGGAGAAATCCCCGGGATTTCTCCCTCGTGTGAATACCCCTTAAGGCGAGCTTCTCTCCACGAATTATCGGCGAAAGTGCGATATGTGTCACTGCTGTACTCGCTTTTCTTGGCGCCAAAGCGATAAGCGCGCTCGTGATCCTCTCGTTTTCGCAAACGCGACACTCGCCCAGTATGTGTAAGCTCAGTACAGCTGTCACTGTACAAGCTGTCCAAGCAGTTTGAGTGGTCTTTTGCCCCACCTACAGGTACACATCTTTCGTGAACGGACAAAAATAAATAAATAAAATGCTGTACAGAAGCCATTATATATGGCACAATGGTTCCCAAAAGGCAATGAAGAGCGCGTGATACATTGAGCAAAAGGAACTATAATTATGAGATTGAGCATCAGAAATTGTATAATACAAAACACCTTACATTATTAAAGTAATGAACAACGGTGACAGTTGCTTAGACCGAGAGAAAATAATCGCGAAGCTTATGTATGTATACCACGATTCTATATCGATATTTGAATGCATAAATCTGTTTGAATATAGCGCAGGCAAAGTTTTTTTAATCAGCAGCTGTGCCTCACTGAGCCCAATTCTCCTTCGCAGAACGTGCAGCAGATCTGGCCGCGTACCCCGAGTCCCGCCAGCTGGTCCCGAACCGGCGCCGACGAGAGTCCCGAACCGGTTCGGGAATGTCCGGTCCAGTCCCCGTCTCCGGACACGAGACCGGGCAAGCCCCCACCTCCGCCACAGAGATGCAAGAACAATCAGTCACCGCCCAGGACACCTCCGGTACGGGTCGCCCTGTTGCCCCACTCGCAAACGGGCCGAAGAAAAGCGCGGAGACTCTATGGGGGCATTATGCATGCGGTAGAGGTCCGTAGAATCTAGGGGACTGTCCACACTTGATGCATCGACCCTTCTATTTTTTCTCTCTTTCTGTTTTCTTTCGCCCCCTTCTGGGCTGTTTTTGTTGGCGGCAGCAAACAAACCGTTCTTGTTGGCGGCCAGTCTTCTCTGCCGATGTGTTTAATACCGCGTCATAGTCAAGCAAGCGTGAGTGGAGGCAGGGCTGCGGAGCGGAACACATAACCATAAACGTAACAATGAGCCAGGCAAACCTGCATACCCATTTAACAGATAAGCTGACGGCGTGGTGGCCGCTATGTGCTTGCCGGACCAATAATCAATCGCCTGACTCCACTTTCTGCATTTGAGTACGCGCAGAAGGCGTAATCAAGAAAGTTCTAGACGAGACGGTTGACTAGTCCAACAAGCACTTTGCGTCTACCGCCCTGTCACCTTAGCGGTGACAGAAGTGCAGCGACTAACCATCAAACAGTAATCTACACCCCGGTAGAAGACAAGACTCGCGAGATGAGTGTGCGCAGTAACGAAGTGGCACCTTATAGTGACCCAAATGGTTTATGACCCCAGGGTAGTAATTTGAGAGCGTACCATAAAGTTGAGTTATGCGGATTCTTGGGCGAGTTGGTACTGAAAATTTGAGAACATGATAGGGCGTCAAGTAGGGACGAGAGCAAGAACAAGAAAACACAATGCGCTAACTTCAACTGTTTCGGACATGCCTGCGAAGAGTTTTTGCTTGATCCATGTTACAGGATCGCCGTACACAGAATTGAAGCACTCCTCAGACATTTTCTGCAGACTGTCTTTTGTATGACGTATTAGCAGTGTGACGTCAGACTCGAGAAGCCGGGAAAATGACCGTTCGTGAAAAAAAAAAAAAAAAAAAAAGGTGGACTCGCTGTCGTTTATTCGAAGCTGGGTCAGCTGGGTTCCGTTTTAATGGTGGTCGGACCAGAGCGGGCGTGACGACACCACTTTGGTCGATGGTCAGCTGACACTTCCTCGTTGAGAGTGTCAAAATGCTAAAATGACGAAATTCTTCGCGCTTTTTGTTGAAACGTCAGTACGCTTGGTCGTAGTGTAAAGTGATACTTCCTTTTCTTGCGGGACTTCTAAACGCGGTCTCTAACGACTCTGCCGTGTCCGTCCCCCAGATGACAAATTCAGACGCCAACGCTGCGAAGCCCGTCGTCCCTCGTCGCTTGTTCCGACCAAGCATGAAGTCGGAGAAGTCCGACTACGCCAATCTAGGTGAGTGACCACTTGGCCGCATTGAGTGTTATCAGCACTTCCTTTAGTGTACACTTCCCGAAGCTCTAGAAAAGCTGTCTCCGCCAGTGTGAAGCCACACTTCGCTCCCCAGATAACACCTCGAAAATAATAAAACCGTAGCGCTAAATAGACCTTTCTGGAATTATGTTCCCCCTCCTCCCTCCTCTCTCTCTCTCTCTGTCTGCTTGACGCATTTGTGTGCGGCACGTGAGATCATTCAGGAATTAAAGACGTTGGTTTAACATTTTGTAATTTCAGAAGGCAGTGAAGGCAGAAGGACGGCAAAACAGATCTATGTTATGACTTTCTTTTGCGTTCGCTTTATTTATTTATTTTTTACGTTCTGAACTTTTAGATAAGAGAGAATGAAATGTACCGCTTTCAGGATATACAAAACGTTCAGCACGAGCCCACATCGGAACACCCCACAATTTCACTCGTCGTGAGGTCGGGAATTTTCTGGAAAGGTCTGTTTTCGGCTTCACCTACAGAAGGCCAAGAGTGCCGCGTCAGCATTCAGCAGGGATTCGTGTTCAGCCGGTGAGAACACCGTGAGAGCTCGGGGATTGTCGGTACCCTGCGGGACTATCCAGTGACTCAGGCGGGCAGGCCCGTGCGCGTAGCGCGCTGGGCATCTGGCGTTTCCCTCTCGCGGGATCTTTATGGAGTGTCGACCACTAACCCACTGGCGGAGCTTGATCCGTGGCGTGGCGCGACGACCTCCCTCGACCTGATTTCGTTCTTTCCGCGGGCGACACACATTTCGAGGGGATTTTCAATTGCGTGTCACTTTCCAGTTGGAAAATGGTGCCGCGCGTTCCTGAGCGCGCCTTGCCGCGTGCGCCTCTCGAAAGAGCACGGCGGACTGCTCGAAAAAAAAAAAAAAAAACTCCATGCGACGTGTCTTGGAGGCTTCCGCGTTTTCTCCAAAAAAAGTCCCCTTTGCCATTCTTTTTTTTTTTTTTAATTTTTATTTTAAACTTTTTCGGTCGCTTTCTTGAAACTCTCTCGCCTGTTTAATTTGAATATGCATATGCAAGAAAGCTTGCGATGATGGGCGCTGGGCGTGCGGAGTTGGCTTATTTTCAAACGACCCCTAGATGACACAGTTCATTCATCATTCCTTTTCTGAAGGCTTGGTGGGCAGTCATCGGTGCAGGGTGGCATCTTCGTCACTTTTATATTATTGAGCACCAACTCGTCGTCATTAGATAGCAGATCTATTTTGATAATTGCCTTCTTCGTGCTGCCACTCTTGTCTGCTGGACTGCGGGTCACATTCTGAGCATGCACAATAAAGGAAATTATATGCACAAAGTTGGAGTTGCGACTAGGGAGGCTTATCTCAACACCTCCTGGAACGCAAGGCCACTGATGACCGCGGCATCACGGAGGGTGCAAATAAGAATTGGCTGAAATTTCAGTCAATCCTGCACCGATTGGTCTTCGGTCGGTTCTGCTTCCTATTTGCCTTAGCTCCTGGTATCACGCCAATCAGCACTGAAAAAACCTCGAGTTTTAGGAGTTGTTTGTACAATCGTGTTGCTTAGGGCCCCATTAGCCTGCTTATTTCAGGTGCAATATAAAGGTATATTTCGATGAAATTATTGGGGACTTACCGAGCAGTGATGTTCTATTATGTCGACGCCAAGTCTTGCTGACCTACTACTTTGTGAGTGCTGTCATCATCTGATATAAAGGTTTTCGGTAAGCTCACATCTTCCTGGATAATAACGTACAAGCGCTTGGTGTTGAAACTAACCATTAGCTGCAGTTATCGGTACCAAAATATCAACAAGCTTTGACAGCGTTTGGGGACATGCGCCGATGTACTTTGAGCCAGTGTCCCCACTGAGGACCTCCGAAGTCATTCTTTACTAGGTTTATGTAAGCTTTTCTTACAGAGTGTATGGTGAGTACGAAACGTTTCAGCGTGCAAACTAATTCTGGTAAAAATGTCCTGTAAATAGGAAATATTGCCCTAGGGCACGATAGTCTAAACTAAAACTGGCAATTGAATAGTGATGGCGCTGATGGAGTCCTCTTGGACATAACCTCTCACTGCCAGAGGCTCCTGTTCGCGTTCCCTTCTTTACGAGCCTGCTATACTGAAGGTATGTTTCTATTGCAGCGGACGACGTGCGAGATTGGATTTCGGGTTTTGTCTCTAAGAAATTAGGTAAATATGCCTGGCTGCATGCGCCAACGCTGTGCCATCGCCAATGCCAATGCAGCGGGCATGTATCGCTTGGTGCTGCAGCCTCGTTTAGTCACCCGCCCGCTTTTATGCGACGTCGCCGCGTCGGCGTCGCTTGCATGGCAACAAGGCCTCGTGCATTCGGTTCCCTGTTCTGCTTAGAGGCGTTCTAAAGTGATCTTTAACTTGTGCTTCTTAGGATGCAAACTTGACATCGACATAATCCATATATCACATACGGTTTCTGTCACTCGATTCACACTGTGGCTTATCATGACACAACAACGCGGGAGCCAATCAGGGACTACCTATCCCATTTCAATCTAATTTGAATTGTTAAACAAACAAATATCTTCACCTCATCAAATAAGCATTGAATTGAAACGACATTGCGTATTTCCAGCCTGCACCCAACGATTTCGTACGGAACCGGCTCCAGAAACGTTGTGAAATTGAATTGAGTTCGAAGCGAACGAGCGGATGGTCCTCCAACGGTCCTCTGCCGTTACCTCTTATCTCGCCCAAACCGCTTTCTTTGCCGTCTGCTCTGAAGACCATGTCTTTGAAGGTCATGCTCGATCGACCGTTGTGCTCGACCAGAGGACGTTGATCTTGACTTGGCTTCGGCGCTGCCTCTTCAGTGCCTGCCTCCGAGCTCAGCGCGGTCGTAAAGGAGTGCCGTGGTTGCCTCCGGCGTGTCAACAGACGAAACAGCAGCTGTCTCGGCCGCACTGCGCTTGCTCGATAACGTGTGCGGCTGCGCTCTGCTGGCGCCTGGAGGATAAGCTCCTCTCGCTTTCTTTCATTCTCGGTTTTCTGTTGTTTCGCCCAGTCAAACGTGGCATGATGTTGCGCCGTATACACTTTCTCGAAGTATAATCTCGCTGGCAGGGTCTCCCAGTTCTAGGGTTCATTGATGGAGTTCCACATCAGCAACTCATGTAACACATGTAACGTATACACTCAAACGACTTGCTCTTCCCCTTCCATCGGTGACGCCATGATGCTTTTGGTCGCCCGATTAAGTTCTAAGAGAATGTAAAAGACATTTCATGACCTGTTTGTCTTTTAGCCTAGTAGGGGGACAAGGCTTGTTTCCTGACCCACGGTCTGAACGCTAACTACTCCAGAGGGTAACTTTAATTTAAGATTTGTTTTCTTGTAGTTGTTCTTTTCTTTAATGTTTATCTCAAAGAGCACATAAGAGTTACAGCTCGTTAATGTAAAACTCTTAGGAACAGGAGTGTTACGTGTCTTCTATAGCTTTTTTTTTTTTTTTTCCTTTTTTAAATTTTTGTGATGGTCTCGTTTAGGGACACTCATTACGACGCCTATACGTCTAGGGAACGCCACGTAAAGAACATTCGATCGCGGTTGTGGTGGGAACCGTGCTGCCTCAGAATGTCGGGGCAGTATACTGCCCAGCTCAGTACATACCGACATTCATTAATAATTGTTTTGAGTACTCACGCGGGGCTGCGAGTTTCGAATGACCCTCTTTTACGCTGCGCTCGTGTACGCAGTGTTGTGCCCGTTATTCAAAATAAGTGTCGATGTGGCGTTAGTCGTTAGTTCGTCAAAAATTCACGCGTTACTGAGATTTGGTACTATTGTGCAAAAATAAAGAAATACGGTTACCGTTCCTTCCAATACTGAATGAGGGTTACTTTTGCGTTACTCTGAATTTCAGTATTATTCGGCAGCGATAAGCCGCGATTATTAACTTTGACAACATTTAAACGTTTAGAGAGAGCCATTCATATTTTTTATCCTTCGTTTAGCGAATGTGTAAAACACAGCGAGATTCTCGATGACACATTGGAAAGGACCGAAAACGTGACAAATTTTATTTAAAAGCAAGGAGCAATGAGTGGCGTAATATAATCGATACTGTAAAAAAAAAAATAGTAACGAAATTACTTCACACGTTAGGCATTTCGGGTCCTGACGAGTACGTTAGTACGTCACTAAAAAACGGAAAGCCCCGGTCACACTTCCAATACATCACACAAGAGACAGTCTGAAGACACTGAGACCTCTCTCTTCCTTGTCAGATTGGTCATAGAAGAACTGTCTGCAAACTTGTTTGAAGCACCGTGTCCTTTGTATGATGTGTGTGTGAGCAGTCCGATTAACGACGCGTTACCACCAGTAACGTCGCTACTCGCAGCGCGTTCCTTCTAACGCTGTGGTATACGTATACCCACCCTGCCTGAGACACAACCCGGGCGTGCAGCGACGGAAACAAAACTTCCCCCACGCCCAGTGGTAAATGGGCGATAAGAAGGCGTCGTCCATTGAACGCTCGACAGTCGGTGTGCATGCAATTGTGTGGCGGCGGGCGTTTCAATCGGAACTCGAGTGAGGTTCGGTCTGCTGCGTGTACACCGAAAGCAAACACGCCCTGGCGGAGGAAAGGAGGAGAGGAGGCTGCTGTGCTTCGGTGCCACCCAGACGGCAAGGCCTTCTTCGCCTTTGCCACCTAGACGTCATCACTAGTGGATCCACGCAGCACCGCCTTGCTGGCGTTAGCGCGTCGTCCACAGCGGGTCTCGCAGCGAGCGCGACGCAAGCACACGCGTGGTGCTGACGCCAAGATCGACGGCTTCGTCGAGCTTTGGCGTTTTTGGCCGCTTGGTCGGGGGTCCACTAAAGATGACGTCACACGCAGGCCTTGTCTTCCATTGTGTTATTGTGTGCTTCCGGGGCACAGGTTTCTTCTTCGTTTTGGAGGAGCCATTCACTGGAAGACCTGTGCTGCAGAGCGGAGTCGCAGAAGAGAAGAAAACGGCGGAGAACGTACTAATAAAAAGAAAAGAAAAAAAAAGAAACGAGATCGCGTCTTTCGTGGAAAAAAGAGGCCGGTGCAGTGGATACCTCCGCGACCTGGGATGCTTTCTTATTTTTTTCTTTTTTTCTCGCTTTTTGGCGTTTTTTAGGACGAGTCAGTACGGGTAACGCACCCGCACGACTTCACAAGGCCGTACTGTTTCCGCATTTGCAAGATGACACTTTATTTTCTTTCTTCTTCTTTTTTTTTTTTTTTTTTTTTTTTTTTTTTTCGGTACGGATGAGCATACGTTAGTTGTTTTCTTTACTGGCAACACCAGCAACCCAAAACGGAGTTTTTGGAGTCCGATATCATCAAAGTTCTTAGCGGTTGATTTCCGGTTCGTAAGTTGGCGTCGCAGCAAGAAAGTCTTCAGTACGTGTCTCTGCGAAATTTGGTCACTCGACCCCGTAGATGATGACCCACGATACCACTGCAGAATTTCTTTCCTAGCCTCATAATAGCTTAATTTATTAAGGAAATTTCACTGTTAAGAAGCATCCTCGCTCGTTACTCTATTCTGAGCATGCGCGCGCACTCGTTCTGTTTTGCGGAATGTTAAACTTCGCCTATGGTCCACTGGCTCAGCATTTTTCGCCTGGGTGCTCCGTATAACACTAATCTAAAAAAAAAAAAAATAGATCAAGCGAGCGTCGACAAAAGCCGTCTTGTTCGTGTCGTTGGGGTGTGTTGGTTGTTCGCTTTGTGCACGGACTGTGTGATTACTTTGTTTACAGCTGGCTAACATCTCTGCATCTGGCTTCGGCCACCCTAGCTCGTAGTCCTGCGCTGAGCTCACCGCTTGCTGTTGGCGCAGCTCTCTTTGCCGGCTTGTAACAGCAGTGTCCGCTTGCGGCTTTCTGTCATCCGAGTGGGTCATGGCGTGCGCAGACTCAACAAAGTGCTCCGCCGAGGAACACACGCCTGTTTGCACAGTGGCTGGCTGGCCGGCCGCGCAGCGTCGGTTGTTGTCCCACCAACTGTCGCAAAAAAAAAATCGGTTTCACGAGGTCTTGCGCTGTGAGTTACCGTGTCGGTGGTAGATAGGAAAAGCAGGACATTACTCCGGCTTTCCCTTTTTCCTTTAATCTAATAATAGATCAATTCACAGTGATTCCTCTTTTTTTCTTTTTTTTTTTTTACTCCAACATGAAGCAGAAAAATGGGAAAGTTTTTGTTTTCGTCTTTTGGTCCATTTGGTCAAAGCATGATATTCCTGTTGTTGTTTTGCTTTTATTCTTTTACTAAACAAATACTTATTTTGTGGCGCCTTGGTGGATTGATATGTGCACCAGCTGGACAGATTCGTCCCCCGGTCTTTTCCATTTTTTCAAATATAGAGAGGAGGCGAGTGGACCCGCCTTTTCTTTCGCTTCCTCTTCGACGTTCGCTCTGCTGAAGTGAAAAGAGTGGAAGGTGTTTCCACGTCAGATCGTAAAATGACGGTCCGGGTCACATTTTTTTTTTTTATCTATGTAAAAATATATATGTAAGCCATGTTCTCTATGTAAAACATATATGTTCAGCTACATGCGAACGCCGGGTCTAATTTTCTTCCGGAGAAAGAAAATTTCGGAGCTCGAGGCGCGGAGATTTGCCAAAGTTTCGCTATTGGTGTTTTGCACAGCCGTCAATTTCACACCGAAGCTTCTACGTGGTAACTTTTTTTTTATTTATTTTATAGGAAGTTTACAACATGAGGACAAAATATTAAACATTGCAATAAAAAATATCGATAAAAAAACACGAAACACGTCAGATAAACATATTTGAGAACCTTTCAGCGCCCGTCTTGTGTATTCTCTCCTCTGCGTCCTTGTATTTTCGCGCTGTTTTTCGTGAATGTATACCAACTAGCCCAACACGTCCATTCTAGTACGTTTTAAAGACACATTCACAAAAAAAATATATATATATATATTTACCAACGAACTACTTCATATGGAACGACACAAAATATATCAAAATGATCATCTTTAGATACAATTTAGGAATACATACAAAAATATGATTATCCAATATTGTAGTTATGTTATTAATGCAGAAACGCAGCTAATTTCTCTAAATAATGTGGCAAAATAGCACGTCAAAATAATGGAATTTTTCTTTTACTTTTTTAACATTTTTTAATTAACCTGTGATGGGCAACACACTGAATAACATATAATCTCCTTAAGAAAAAAAAAAACGACAACAAACCTTCTCTCAAATTGAGCCAGCTTATTGTCTTCGTTAACTCCAAAGAAATTTTTTTTTTTTTTTTTTTTTTTTACAACAGACAAAGGCTGTACAGCGGTGCTGCTATATCGTAGCCTTCGATAGAGCGGGGCCGCTGTACAGCCTTCGTCGGTTCTAGAAGGTGTCTCTTTGGAGCCGACGTCGACTCTTGCAACCGAGTAGGACCGAGAGAGGCCAGACCGGTTTTTAAGCCTCTTACGGCTTCTTAGGACCAACTCCGCAGCAGCGCACCCGGTTTTAAGAGGTCGCAAGAGGCTTAAAAACCGGTCTGGTCTCTCTCGGTCGTAGTGGGTTGCAAGAGTGTGAACGGCGCTTATAACGAAGACAAGCTAGCTCGATTTGAGTGAAGGTTTATTGTAGCCTTTTTCTTTTTTTTTTCCTTAAGGAGGTTATATGTTACTCAATGGGTTGCCATCACAAGTTAGATCAAACCACTGTAAACAACTTTAAAAAAAAAATGAGTCTTTTTTTTTTTTATTATTGACGTGCAATTTTGCCATATTTAGAGATATGGGTCGTGCTTCTGCATTACTTACAGAACTACAATAATGGCTAATCACATTTTTCTTATATATTCATAAAATGCATTTAAATGTGATCATTTTGATATATTTTGCGTCGTTTTATATGAAGTAGTTTGTTTTTAAATAATTTTTGAATATGTCTCTAAAACGTGTTTTACTTGATGTTTCCTAATTATTATTATTATTTTCTTTTGGAGATAAATATTTTACTGTAATATTTATTATTCTCCGTACGTGTTGTAAACCTTTCATAAAAAAAAAAAAAAAAAAAAAAAAAAAAGATTACTACGTGCAGGCTTTGGTGTGAAATTGACGGCTGTGCCATAACAAAACCGTTGCAATCCCCTCGCCTCAAGCTTCGAAATTTTGTATCTCCAGAAGAAGACTAGCTACGGCGCTCGCACATAGCTCAATGCTCCTCCCAAGAACATAAATTTCACAAATATTTTTGCATAAACATAAAAAAATATGACCCGGAGCATCATTGCACTATCTGACGTGAAAACAAACTAAAACACTTCGTAAAAAAAAAAAAAAAAAAAAAAAAATTTTTTTTTTTTTAGGTCTGCAACAAGGCATAGTGAAACCATTTGTGAATCAGAGTGGGCGAGTTGGTAATAGTTAAAACGTAATAAAAATAACAAGGAAAAACAAAAAACGAGGACCACGAAGGAACATTTGCGACAGGACAACAGCTGTACTTGAAACTGAAAGTTATTATTTAAAAGGGGAAAAAACCGGAAAAATACTTGCAACAACTGTTTTCCTGTCGTAAGTGTTGCCTTCGTGGACCTCCTCGTTGTTTTTTTTTTTTTTTTTTTTTTTTTTTTTTCGTTTTGGTTTTTATCATGTGAATCCATTTTTGTTTGAATCGAAACGAAGGAATGAATTGCATTCCTGTCTCGACCGACCAGGTCACGTCCGGTCTCCGATGGCCCCCAAGAAGCCCCACCGGTCAAGCTCGCTGGTGTCCAGCTCGGGCGAGAACAGCGGCGAAGAGGAGTCCTCGGCCGTGGCGGCCGACGACAACGCGTACGAAACCATCGGGGTCCGACATGCGACCGCCATTGCCGGACCGCCTGCACCGTGCGCCGCTCAGGAGGTTGGAGAACTCACTACCATCTGAATTTAATGGGCACTCGATGCCAGGTCCTATTTCGGGCCAATTTATTTAAACGATGATTAGAAAGCTTACTCCGACCTTACATAAAACAGACGAATTAACAAAGAAACAAACGCTTCCTCAGTGTAGAAGTGGCGAAACGTCTGTCTTTTTGGATTCTCCGAGCATTTATAGCGTTTCTGCATTTGTCTAAGTAAGCTCGAGACAGAGGTTCCAGGAAGTGTTTGTTCGGGTCGGAAAGTATCCGGAAGACCGAAGCCAATGTCATTGCGAGAGGTAAAGCGAACGCCGAGAAAAAGTTTCGTTTCTGCGGCTTCTCCGCATCACGCGGCTGCCGAGCCGTGAAGCAAGTCTCGCGGGACAATCGCGCTTTTGCGGCTTCTCCGCCATGCGTCGCCGCTGCACGGTGAAGCCCACCGTATGCGGGCTCGATCGTATGCGTCTCGACGGTGCGGACGTCATTCGTTGCTGAGTGAGCGACTATTGCGAAGTGGTTTTGTTTATTTATTTATATTTTTTTGGAGGCCATATTTGTTGCTTCAATAATGCAGTTCTCGGTCAGAAAATATTTGGGACAGAAAGTGAAAAGCAAAATATAACCGATGCTAGGGCTAGGAAGGAATACAAATGGTGTTTCAGGTTCTTCTGATGCAGGTTCAAATATTCTAACCTATCTCGATAAAAAAAAAATATATATATATATATACTAGAAATTTATGGTTGCATTTGGATCATTTCAATTCTCATAAATTCAGTTTTAGGCTGACTTTAAAAGGACAGATTAATATTGTTCAAAACGACGATGAATGGCTTGAAAAAGCATTAACCAAGCATATCTTTTTTTTTTTTTTTTGCAGTGTGTTGACTTTTAGGTACTACGAAATTGAAAACATCAGCATGCAGAAAGCATGTGTAAAGCTGCGCAAGGAGGTCATTTCTGCAGTGTATCTAGTTTGCTGTTCACCGTTCCCCAATTGTTTATTCCACTGGAAGATGTTGTCACATCTCTGGTTCCACTGTTACTTTTAACAACTACTCCTTTCCCCTTGCCATAAATGATTGGAAAAATCTGGCAGGTGACATAGTGTTAATCAGTGACCCTGATATTTCTAGAAATGCTGTATCATCTTATATTATTTTGTAATCACTCGTGTTCTCAAACATGGCCACCACTTGGTCTACATCCAAAATAATTTTTACTCCTTTTTTTTTGTTTCTGATTGTGAACGCCACTGTTTCACATGCATCTCTTTATCCTGAATATTTTAATGTTTCACTGCATGCCAATGCAGCGAAACATTATTATTTCTTTCTTGTATTGCCCTTATGTCACGCCCTTATGTAATGGCCCTGCCGGGGCCATTACATTACATTACATAAATGAAACACCCAGGTCAGCAAAACGAAACTGAACTCAACGTACACAACGGACTTTCGGGTTTTCTTCTCTCTTATTTCCTAATGCTACAGGAAGAACTGTACAGCAACGCAACGAGCGCGCTGGAATCTGGACCACGAGGGGTCTCGAGTCCTGCTACCTGGACGAGTGGGAAGGGTGACAAGCCCCCTAGCGGTGTCCCCGTGGCGAAGACATGCCCCGACCAGGGCCACAGGAAGTGGGAGTGGCACACACTCGAATCCAGCTATGCGGCCATCACTGCCTCCGTCCATGAGGCACTCTCCAAGTACCTCACGCACGTAAGGAAACACGCACCTTTTCAGCTCATATCGCCCAGGAGAAAACTGCCGAGTCACTGGGCTATTGATACATGCATCACATGTGCATGCTCAGAACGTGCATGTCCCCCAAAAAAATCTACAGCGGTCTTCGCACCGCAAAAATTAGCTATGCATCATTGAACCAGATGCCATAGTTCTAGAACTCACCGTTATGTTATTCAAAAGTTACGAGTGATTTTCTGAAATTTTCAATAGAAAAATGGTGGCCGACCGAGTCCTCGAACACATGGAGCTGAATGGCACCAGTTTCCGAGAATGGGCTCCATTTTCAGATTAAAACCTTCAGGAAATCACTTATAACTTTTGAATAAAGGCCCGTTCACACTCTTGCGACCTCTTAAACCTGGGTTCCTTAAAACTTCTTAAACCAGAGAACACACTGGCGCCATCTATTGGGAAGCAGTGTAAACTCGGCGGTCCGGCATTTTTTTTTTTTTATTTCTCGCGCATTATCTTTTCTTTTTTGGCTCGAAAAACCTTTGTCAATGTTATAAATGAGCCTTTCTATGGGTATTACGCACATTTGACCTCTGAAATCCCGCAAAACCTTCGCTTTTGTGAAATGCAGTTCTAGGGTCACCACATAGATGGTGCCACAATGTCAGTGTGTTCCCTCATTCTAGAAACATTTAAGAAGTTGTAAAGGCCCGTTCACACTCTTGCGACCGAGTACGACTGAGAGAGACGAGATCTCTTACAACTTCTTAAATGTTTCTAGAATGAGGGAACACACTGACATTGTGGCGCCATCTATGCGGTGACCCTAGAACTGCATTTCACAAAAGCGAAGGTTTTGCGGGATTTCCGAGGTCAAATGAGCATAATACCCATAGAAAGGCTCGTTTATAACATTGACAAAAGCTTTTCGAGCCAAAAAAGAAAGGATATTGCGCGAGAAATAAAAAAAAATATGCCGGACCGCCGAGTTTACACTGCTTCCCAATAGATGGCGCCAGTGTGTTCTCTGGTTTAAGAAGTTTTAAGGAACCCAAGTTTAAGAGGTCGCAAGCAGTCGCAAGAGTGTGAACGGGCCTTAAGAGATCTCGTCTCTCTCAGTCGTACTCGGTCGCAAGAGTGTGAACGGGCCTTAAGGTAGTTGTTATAGTTCTCAAGCTTTTGCATCCGGTTTGGACTGCTATCGCTACATTTCGGAGGAGACTTAAGCATTCACTGATGCATCGTTTATTTTTGCAATGAAAAGCACACTGTCATTTCTTTTGTAGGGGACCCATACCTTGTGGATGACAGCACACAAATGGCAGTTATTGGAGTGATTTATAGTCAAGTCGCTTGAGAGGACCTGCTTGGCAGGCAGATTGCAGGATGCTGCTATCATTCATTCTATGCTTTAAAAATTACCGTACAATTAAACTTTGCCTCCAAGCAACGAGGAGAGCCATTCGCAATGATCTACGGTAGGAACCTAATGAATGGCTATTCCGAAGGAATGTTGTAACCTAAAAATTAATCCTGCTACGTGACATCAATCAATCAATATTTTATTTGCACAAAAGAAAAGAGGGGAATGCAGGAGGCTTGCACGGCTACCAGATAGGTCTACAACCTGTACGCAGGGGCGTCTACTAGCCAACCTCCTGAGCACATCAGGAAACACAAATGAATGAAGAAGGATGAAGTTTAGACTAGAAATGAATATGGAATAAGTTTATAAATGAAAGGAATGATGAGACAATAAAGAGCATGCGAAAGACTTCTGGTGAAACCTCCAAGGTCGTCAGTGGTCCGAGGCAAAGGTGGGCGCGTGCGCCCATCATTCGTGTGATGAGCACATGAAACATCATGGTCAGTGTCATGTCCCAGACTTCTACTTTTGATGAAAGCATTTTTTTGCCTCTTTATTTATGGAGCTTCTAGCGTTAGCCACTGTGATTGGCTTCCTTGGTGCTCTGTGGGAATTTAGATGTATGGCATTTGTGCCATCACTCTAGTTATTTTACTTTTTTTTAACGCCTAGCAAGCTTGTCCACAGAGTTTTGTCCATACTATATCTTGCAAGTAAAGCATGAAAATTTAGTGTTTTCAACCTCCTTCAAATTTCGCTTCGTAGCGTAGCGGGCATTACGAAGTAGCCTCGTACCGAACTGTTAGATTCATCACACCATCCAGTTGTTGATGAGACAGTAATAATCAGACTTCCAGTGGGTTGGGAGAGGGATGGAGCTTGAAAAGACGCTTTTAAACATCTTTTAGTAATTAACCTCCAGGTACCATGGTTAAAATTGTACAATCCTGCTAGATCTGTTAAAGGTAACCATATGACACATGCTTTTTTTAGTTATTTTGCAGCAAGTATTTTTAAAAGAGCCTATTGAATTATTTTGTCTGTGAGAGTATTTCGAAACTAAAAGCTAGCTACACTATACCTACTTATTCATCTCAAGGACAGTAGTAAAAAAAGTCTGGTTTCTCGCAGAGCAATACTAATTTCCCTTTTTATGTAGAGAATCAAGATATACCATAATACCCCTGGAGATGCCCCATCCCCGAAAGATAACCCTCACCTATTTTTGGCACAATTTGTTTTTTTTTTTAAAAACACCAAAAGATAGCCCACTTCTAGTAATTGCAGAGCCCTGGCCAATGGTGCACTCGGCAGAAATGGTTTTACTTAGCCACGGCGGGAGATAAGTGAACGTTACTGACTGGGAAGGATGTTGTCTTTGGTTCATTGCCCCTCCCTGCGATTATAAGTTTCGCAGGTCACAAAATCTAAAACTAGAATTTTTGCAACTTTTTTTTATTGCACATCAAAAGTTAGCTTATTTCTTATTTTCACCTGATTTGCTTTCGATTTTAGGTGGGCTATCTCTCGGGATATTACGGTAGGTAAATGCGTTTTAGTTTAGCTACATGTTATTTTATCAAAATGTACACGCTTCAAATGCCAAAAGTATAGTTTCTTCCCTTGACAACCATTCCTTGTAGGAACTATGGTACTTTGCACAGCGTATGAACTTCTTTTTTTCTTGATGTGACAACAAGTATAGAAATGAGCTTCCTTGTCAGATACGAGAGCACTGCCATGCAGACAGGCATGTTCCAGCTTTGTCTGTTGTCAACTGTGGGGATGTCTTTCCCGAGGATCAGCCACGTTCTGTCTCCTCCTGCAGATGTGCAAGTGCAGTCACTCCCTGCCCTGGGAAAGCAAGTCACGGGAGCTGCTCCGCTGGGAGGACTTCGAGGTGGGCAACCCGTCCACAGACAGCGGGCTCCTCGTCTATCACGGAAACTACAGGGAAACCTCCAGCCCAGTCACACTGCTGGTGAGAAATCGACTCTTCACGGTTGGCCAAGTGCAAATGGGTGTAGGTAGATAATTGATAGATATTTGCACTCCCCCATAGTTTGATAGATATATATTTGTACACTTAAGTTCTGGCTTCACACAAGGCATTGCTGCCCACACGAAAGTGCCCATGTGTCCAGCTAGACAATGGTCGCAACTGCAGCCAAGGCACAAGGACGATCCAATTGTCTTGGTAGGTGCTCCCGCTGCCTGTTCGTGTGTGCAGTCGTAGCCCTTTCCAAAGAAAGCAGCCTGCACTTATAACCTTTGCTGGTGAAGATAATCTGGTGGCCTTCTCTCTCAACCTGTGAGAGTTGGAAAAGACTAAATAAGTAAGGAGGACTTTTTTTCTCATATAACTACATCAATTAAAGTACCGTAAAATACCAAGGAAGCACCCACTTCATTTAAGTGCCCACTATTAACATTTCCCAAACTAGGGAATTCTGCAAATTATGTTAAGCGCCTGATTTGACCGGACAAGCGCCCATGAATAGATTAACCCAGTTTTCAATGAAGGTGGGGTGTGTGCTCCCCCGGTATTTTACAGCAGCTTTGTTAGTTACAAACTAAGAGGTGCGAGCCCAACAATGCTCGCGTTGCGTACAGCCATTTCTGATGATATTTAGCCAAAGACCGTAGAGGGTGAGAGATGAGTCAGTTTACACCATTGGTAGTTCATGGGGCATAAAACGCTTTACTGAGCGCAGACCAATTGACCTTTTTCAGAGATCGCTGGGCGCATGCGCCGACTCTGAGAGAGGAGAAAAAAGGGAAAGGCGCCATTTTTGGTGGCTCTCTCGCCCGCTCGGTCGCTCAGACAGTGCTGGTTATGCTTGACTCCTCCGCTATTCTCGCGGCTGGGCTTTATAGTCGTCATGCCTCACCACCGCGCAGCAGAAGGTTGCACAAATAGAAGCAAACATTGTTAAAATGCCAAATTTAATAAAGTTCTTGTAGCCTTTGGCGGGTGGTGCACGAAAGCACTCGATGTCAAACACCCCGCCCTTTTTGCCCTGCTTTCAAAAGCCTATGACGAGAGTCCCCCGTGTCAGGTGGCTGGATCATCAATGTAACGGCGGGACATTCTGCTTTTAACTAAAATACAGTAAATGTGAACATGATATACCTGAAATTGGGGTAGGAAAAGGAAAACGTTGATACCTGAAATTGGGGTAGGAAAAGGAAAACGCAAAAGGACACAGAAAAAGAACAAGCAACGTCTCTTGAGACATTGCCCGTTTTTCCTTTGCGTTTTCCTTTTCCTACCTCAGTCTCGGGTTTAATAATTGAAAATGAGCGTGTTGGTGGTTAGATGCGAATACATGAAATGATAAAACATCAAGGACGGGGACGGATACAGGACTTTTTGAAAGAAGACTCTTTCCGTCCCTGTCCTCAATGTTCCATCAAGCTTTCATGTATTCATATATCAAGTTTTCCATCATGTTAAACTTACACCAGCTCGCCTGCACTCAGACCATTTTTTGTTAATAGTAAATGTGCAAACGAGGTTGTGTGACGTAATCATGCCGTACCCGGTACTCAATTAAAAAATAACAGCATAATGCTTTCCGTTCTTCAGGCGTGCGCTATACACACTCTTGTCTTGCCACATTAAAAAAAGTGGCAAAACATTCAAAGCGAGCGAAACGAATTTAAGCCTTATGGAGACAGACTCTTGATGAAATTTCTTGGCAACCAACCGTGAACCCCCTGTTTGCTGGGCCCACTTTGTCGAAGGTTTGTAAACGTGCCAAATTCAAAAATGGATTGTTTCTCACATACCGTTCCTTACTTTTTGACGGTGCAGGCAATCCTTCGCGATATCAAGACAGCCCGTATTTCGGACCGTATGAGTTTGTTTACACATTCCCGAATACGGCAATGTCCCGTGCCCTCGCGCGGTACGCAGGACGGCGAAGTGATGGACGCGATAAGCTTGAATAACTTAAGCAATCAAGGAGAGTAAAATCAGCTGTTTGTAGTGGCCGGGCCTCGTAAACGGAGCTCACAAGCTCCGCACAAGGTGGATGGTTGGGTCGGTATCCAAGCTGGTCACCATTACTTTCCTTACATAACACTCTGCGACTCTGCTTTGAAAGCAGACCCCTTTTTTAGTTGCTTGCAAGACGCGACACTGAAGTGACGATGAAGTGACTCCGAGTCGATGGTAAGAACCGATGCGGCGTGGCGGTCTATCCATCCCTGAAGGTATAAAAACGAACGAGGTCCTCTGACATCGAATTTTGTTAATCCTCCAGGTTGTTCTTAGCCATTTCGAAGAAAATATGCACGCAAAGCGACGACAGAAAGACACATTCAGATTGGTGAAGGACGGAACAACACCACCAGAGAACACACGCAAACACATGGGCCGGGAGACAAGCCAGGCCTGGCGCGGACGACGGAGAAACGTTCCCACAGCCACCAAAAGTGTTTCGAGCGATTCCCGTGAGGGCGCACCACGATCGTGGCCAAACTCTGAAAAAGGTCAATTGTTTTTATCTGAATGGTTTTTGAAACGTCCGTGCAACACAAATAGAACTGAGTGGCATGAGGGCAGCTTTAAGACATGGATCCTCAAACAGGATTCCTAGGAACCCAGGTGTAACCAGAGTGCCCCCATGGGTTCTCCGAGCAAGAGGCATAAATGTAGAGAGTTTGGACATTATTTGGTAAGAATAGGGTAAAACTAAGGGCACATCATTGACCGAAATTGTCTTAATGACCTTGAACACGATGATTGACAGCTCTTGTGACCAACCATTAGCTACAAATATCCCCCAGCGAAGGCAATGAGCTTAACAAATACCCTCCAATCACAATTTCCAGGTCAGGATGTATTCAAGTATTTCATTTCAGCACACTAGGGTTAAAATTTGCGACTCTTCCTACCTGAGAGGGCAATGCACGTGACGTTGATGTCACAGTGATATTCAGAATGCACTCCATTTTTTTTTTATTGCAGTCGCAGCCGCGGCAACGACCGAGTGGACGGTTAAAACCATAGTTGCGGCTCCGCGAGAATTTTGACCCTACACCCGAACGCGCACCCCATATTCGCAGTTTCGTCTCATGTTTCAGAAAACTTTTCTCGTCAATGTCACCTTTTCTGGCTCCGTAAACGTACTCAGCACCTTGATACTCCCCATTTCCACCATCTCTTACAATTATCCATTCATGTACTTTCAGCCTCACCTAGAAACAATAAAATTACAGGAGGCCACTTAAGCTTAATCTTTAAAGGGGTACAGAAATGAAATTTTGGAGCTCATTTCTTTGCTTCAGCATATGGCATAGGTACCAGTAGAACCTCAGAAACATCAATATTTCCTTGAAAAACACAAGAAAACATATTTTAAACTGAATTCGATGATAACCAGGGTGACCACCTTTTTGCTAGCGAAATGCGGGACATGCGGGGCGGGACGGGACGGGGCGGGAAGGGGGGGGAGGGGGGAGGGAGGGAGGGAGGGAGGGAGGGAGGGAGGGGAGGGGTAGAGGGGATTTATTGACACGCACACCACAAACCGAGGCTCTGTTTGCACATTTATTATCCTGTGCTGTTTATACACCTGCAAATTGTATGGCAGCAATTAAGTTCAAATAATTTTCACTCCCAGTCATATATGTTTTTAATATAAATATGTTATGAAATGTGTCGAAGTTGAAAACATAAAAATTAACTGCAGCAGAACTCAATGCAGCAAATAAAATTAAGAAATAATAAATCTTTTTTGGGTTATTGTTTCCTGTCAACCCTACTTTTATCGACATGGTCCTACACAATTTTTAATATTGTGTTCTTTTTCGACTGTCGTGAGTTGCAGGCGTTTTGCCTTGTATAACTAACTGTCTTCACTAACAAAAATATCGAAAGCAACTCTTTTGGAATGACACAGCGATCTGAAATTAATTACAATAATTTATATATTAAACCTTCGGCCAACAATTTTTTTTTACAATATTTTGGCACCAAGGGAGAGGCACAACAAAGCATGCGCGTCGGTTCTCGTGCAAGAACGACGGTCGCTTCCCACAGTGCTCGTATGGAAAATGGTGTACCATTGCAATTCACATGATTACCAACAACCTCCGCACTTCCCCATGCCCCGCTGTTCAGCAGCACCATGAGTTGCAGAGAGAATTTTGCGACAGCTTAAAATGCGGTACATTTTGCAGATTCGGGAATTTCTCGCGAGACGCGGGACATGATCCTTCATTGCAGGACAGTCCCGCGAGTCGCGGGACGGGTGGTCACCCTAATGATAACCAAAAACCATCTGGTTGTTGGTTATGAAGCTTCAACTGAATGTCGCGGATATGGTTTCGTTAGTCTCAGCTCCAACGGCAGCGCCACTATATGGGAAGTATGCTCACTAGTACAGATTACCTAGGCCAGAACATAACACCGAAGGTTTGGTGAAGAAAGCCAGAGCACAGTTGGCCACCTTGGATTCACTCCACCAGACAATTGCTTCCACTCATTCTTTGATGTCACTGATGTCAGGGGCTGCGTGCTGTTTCCAGCACCCCCGAAGTGATTCGAGTTTACGTCGCAGAGTTGTGCCGGTATCCGCTTTTGTGTGGATACCGGCACATACATAAAAAAGCACTGAATGTATTGGTAACAAAAAGAACTAAGATTGAATCACAAACTTAAAACAGACTAGGGTATACAAAATTGAGCACTCATTAATTTGAACAAAAAGTATAGTAATATCTAGAATAGCAAAAAACAGACTACAGAATTGAGGACTCATTAATTTGAACAAAAGGTGAAGTAATATCTAAAATAACAAAAAAAAAAACAAAAAAAAAACATGATCACTCATGGGAGTTAAAACAATATACATCACAACATCGAGGTCCAGCATTTTTTGCAGAATATGACTTCGTTAGTCTCAATAGCTACCATATTTACTCGATTCTAAGCCGGCATCGATTCTAGGCCGACCCCGCAAAAACGGCAGGGCCGAAAAATAAAAAAAAAATTCTCGATTCTAGGCCGACCAAAAAGTATAGGAAAAACACCATAAATTAAACACAGAACGGAATATATCTGCAATGTACAGCACTATTTCGGTCACGAATCCGACGGTATGCTCACGGTTAATGTCCGCATTTTTCCTGATCATTCGTCGTCCTCACTGGTATCTTTCTCACTGTCCACTTCCCACAACGCGTGGTCATCTGTACCGTCCAGGGCATTCGAGATGCAACACTTTCGGAACGACTTTACTACCAGTTCTGCCGGGATGTCGTCCCATGCTGCCGCGATCCAGCTCGTCACCTGACCCAACGAGGCACGCTTGATTCGACCGGTCGGGGTCAGTTGGTGGTCTTCCTGCGTAAGCCAATCTGTATAGTACTTCCGGAGCCTATCCTTAAACGGCTTGTTGATTGCGACGTCCAACGGCTGCAGTTGGCTTGTCAAGCCTCCGGGAACGATGGCCCAATCCGTCGCACCTTCGGAAAGCACGGTTTTCACGGAGTCCGTCAGATGTCCGCGGTACGAATCCAAAACGAGGAGCGAGTTCTTGCACAGCGCAGCACCTGGACGGCGTTGCCAAATCAACTTCACCCATTCCTCGACCAAGGCGCTGCTCATCCACCCTTTCTCGTTCGCCCGCACAACGACCTTTTTGGGGAACTCTTCTCCAGCGGGAAGTGTTTTCTGTTTGAAAATGATGTATGCTGGCAGTTTGTTTCCATCGGCGGTGCAGCACAACATCACCGTTGTCCGCTGTTTCTCGTACCCAGCTGATCGAATCTTGACTTCTTTCGCGCCCTTTTCATTTACTGTGTACGCAAGGGGCATGTCGAAGTATACAGGCGTCTGATCGGCGTTCCCGATTTGTCCTAGAAGGTAGTTCTTTTCTTGCCTCTTCCTTATCACATATCGCTGGAATCTGATCAACTTCTCTTCAAAGTCCGTCGGTAGTTTTTGGCACACAGACGTTCGGTCGTCGGAGACTGAATCCAAATCTCTTCATGAATCTTTGCAGCCAGCCTCTGCTTGCTTTGAACTGCGTCCGAGGCACACCTCGTTCTTTTGCAACTTCTCTTGCTTTTGCCTGAATGATTTCTGTTGTTACGGGATGTGCTGCTGCTCTTTGGGCCCTGATGAAGTTTGCGACCTCGATCTCCACCTCGTGGTGCCTTCCCTTCCGCGGTCCTGAGAACACCATTCTTGTTGCCGCACATGCAAAAAGCTGACCACGCTGCTTTCTCCAGCGACGCACATTTTTTTCGTCCATGCCGAAGTCACGCTGGGCTTGCAGGTTGGACGAGTGTTCAGCAGCCAAGACAACTTTCCTCTTAAAAGCCGCAGAGTAGTGGCATCGACTGGTCGATGCCATAGCGTCGAGTAGAGACGAACGTTCTGTGCGTTCCGTGGTACACAGCGTATCTTCCCGAAGCGATGTAGACAAGATGGCGTCCCGCAGTCATGGCGGAGCCGGATCCTCGTATCTAGGCCGACCCAGAGTTTCGGATTTAATTTTTTTGGAAAAACTATCGGCCTAGATTTGAGTGAATACGTATATCATTTGAGAGGCAGTTTCAATTTTCAATAGCCAGAGCAAGACAAAAATATTTGAATCTGTTAGTGTGACTGAATAGAGGTGCAATTTTTAAGGAGTGATTGTGACATAAAGAAATGTATGAGGCAGGCTTACAGTACTAGGTGAGCATGAACGGTGGCATATTGTAATAAAGCTTGTGAAAAAGGGAAAGACGAGAGAGTTTGTGGCGAGAATCAAGGGGGTCGAGTTAGGTTAGAAATAGCCTGGAGTTCAGATATACTGTACTGAATTCTGGGGAATAGTTACGATGAATGAAGCCGACGGCTTTGTTTTGTATAGACTCTAATCTATTGATGAGGTACTGCTGATGAAGGGACCAAATAGTGCTGGCATATTCCAGCTTTGAGCGGATGAGGGTTTTATATGCAGTAAGTTTACCGTCCTACTGTGCTAAATACAAATGTCCTCTAAGAAATCTAAGTGTTCTTGATGCTTTGTTAACTATATTATTGATCTGAGCATTCCAGGTCAGATCTTCAGTGAAAGTGATACTAACAAGGTACTTATTTGGGGGAACAAATAAAATAGAAGCAGATAAATTAGAGTAGGAAGGAACGTAGTGTTCAAGAAACAATTAAAAGAAATTAGCTTGGTTTTAGAAACATTGATGTTCATTTGCCATGTTAAACACTATTTTTCCAAGATGTCGATGTCTCATTGAAGAGTCTCGGAGTCACTATGATGGGACATTCGGCGGTACAAAACACAATCATCGGTAAAAAGTCTCATGGATGACAATATTAGTGAACGTTGGTCATTTATGTAGGTGAGAAACAAAAGTGGTCCTAAGATGCTGGCCAGGGTAACTCCGGAATTCACCGTGATGGGGGAGGATGAAGTGTCATCTATATAAACAGACTGCTTGCAGTTCGTAAGAAATTATAATATCCAACTGATAACATGACTATTATTATTTAGTTGAGAGTTTCAGAAGTAAATTAGGATTAGGGACAGTAGAGCACTGCACGGACCCACACTTTGAGGTCCGGCCTAGCCAGCGCCCTCTGACTTTTAGTCTTCCCCGACCCGGACCCGACCCAATGGGATGCCTACCTGATCAGGCACGGCCCAGGTCCGGCCCGGTGAGATACCAAGGCATGCCTCGTCTCTTAAATTCAAAGCTGCCCTGGGAAGGTGTTGGGGCATTTGATTCGCTTGGCGTAATTTACATGAAAGACGCTGTCAAGACGTTATGTGTCGACATAAAAATGTGAATGTCAACATAGAGATTTTAATAGCACTCGATCAAAAGAGTAAGAAAAGCTTCGAGACATTATAAAGCATATACAAGTCACAGATTCTACGCAGTCCAGTATAAACTGAAGTCATGATGGCTTAGGGTGTTCAGTATTTACATGTTTTTACGTAAAAACAAGATTGTCCAGGGACTCTTGCTTCAGGCAGGTTTGTCGTTCATTCATGACATATTCAGCTACACTTCCTTTCATTGGTGGTGCTTGTGGCTGGAATGGACAGCATTTTGGGCTTTCTTAGTCTAAGACAGCTTTATTTATTTCTAAGATGATTTTTAGTGGCGTCGTACCCAAGTTCACACTTCAGATTTTTCATTTCTTTAAAATATAAATGATCAATGTGTTAGCATTTTCTTTTCAGCGGTTTAGAAAGTGCGCTACACCATTGCCTGAGCCCAGCCCAGGCCCAAAACCGATTCGTGCGATTCGGCCCGGGCTTTCGGGTTGGCTTGGCCTCGTGCAGAGCTCAAAAAGAAATATTAAATACTTTAGCGAAATCAATAAAAATAGCATCCATAATACAACAGTCATTAAAGGTATTGTGCGAGTCTTTTACAAATTCGAATAGCTGAATTTCGCAAGAAAGATGTTTCTGAAAGTCGTGTTGATGAGGGTGAGGACAGCTGAAGTTATTGAGGTAGTTTGTGACTCGCGAGTAGATGACGTGCTTGAATCATTTACATGGTATGTTTGTAAGAAAGATGGGTCTGTAATTAGATGGATCATTGCAGTCCCCAAATTTATATGCGGGGATGATTTTTGCTAATTTCCAATCATGAGGTAATTCAGATGAATCGAGTGATGCTTGAAAAGTGTGCATTACTGTTTACAAAGTTTGTATAGGCTTCTGCACAGCCTTAGCATCAGTGCCAAGACTGGGAGAGCTTCCTTGGCAAACAATCGAGAGAGATGTACGAGTTTCTCACCCGTCTTGCTTCGACGGGTGTTTTGTCTCGTCCAGGCATTCGAGAAGTCCCGCCAGGTGACAGTCCAGGCGATGGACCACCGGACGGTCTTGAGCTTTGTGGACAGCAGCAGAGACGCGCTTGTGGTGGTGCTGCCAAGGGGCACCGTGTCGTCCGTCGGCAACTGCAGCCTGCACACCAGCCCCCAGCATGTGGCCTACATCCTCCTTCAGGTGTGTGCTTACTGTCTGCGACTCTGGCTACGGCTCTGTCAAGCCGCAGTCACGCTGTTCATACATCACACAGAAGACATGGTGTTTGCTGCAGGCATGATGGAAGAATTCTGTGGACACACCCAAGCATGTTTGCTTCATACATACGAATACTTTAAACATGTCTGCAGAGAGTTTTACCGGTACCAAGAGATTTCATAGCCAAGTTTGAAAACGAGGCTTCAAATTTTGGGCTAACCATCGCGCAGAGTGAATGCAGCACCATGAGATACATGGCTCATTCTGCCAACGAGGCTTCCGAAATTGGCTAGCCATCACACCAGGTCATTTCAGTAGTACCACAATGCTCTGCGACTACAGCCCATTTGAATGAATCTCTAATTCTGTTTATTCGACCAGGCTCGAAATCGGTTAGAAACCATTTTTATTTATCTTCTTCATTGGCTATGAAAAATATCTTCGTAGTTAAGAGAGCAGCCACTGCACCCCATGACATCCACTGTACTATACCATGCTGCAGTTTAAGAAAAGCAAGACAAGCTTCCCCCACGAAGCCTTCCACCCTTTTTACTTTAGCGGATAAAACGCCCCAGAGGACGGTCCCTCTATGCCTTGTCTTGCCTCCTTTCTGGTGTTTGCCTTGGGTGGAGGGCTTTCTGGGAGGAGCATGTCCTCCTTTTGTTAACCAGCAACAGGGTATAGGACTATGCATGGAATAGACAGCTCATAAGGCCTGCAGCCAGTTTTTTTCATCCCTATGCTGCACAGCATATCCTCTTTGCCATTGTTAGAAAGTTCACTCTCTAAACCAAAAGCTGGGCCTAAATGTCATTATGACCTGTCATGAATCTTGTCTAGTGTGAATCTGAGCTAAGCTGAAGCTGCTTACATTTACCATAAAATACCGAGCAAGCGCCCCCTCCAAATTTAGAGATTATACAATCAAAATGGGGAGGGGGCCTTTACTCGGTTCGGGAATAACATTCAAGATGGCAGCCATAAAAACATTTACATGCCTCCGCCCGTCAAAACACATTGGCATCGTGCCGTTGCATCGGTTTTCAGTGCTTTTTATACCACCATACTATCAATACTAAAAAAATTAAGCGTCAAAATAGACTAAATACGCGCGAAGATAGATGCTGATAATGTTGCTGTCGCCACTCTCGCAGAACACCGGGTGCCGGTGTCCTGTGAAAATGGCAACAGCGGGAGTGTACGCATGCGCAGAAGCTTACTGAAAAAAGGTCCATTATGCCTTCTTTGTAGCCAGAACAAGTTGGAAATTTCTACAGGAGCTTTACGAAAGACCAGTAGTATCTGCAAATAAATTCAGTGTTCTTCGGAACACACACTGCTTCAAGACGCCATATTTCTCGACTTACTATATTAAAAGTAAAATGATGCGTGTCCCTTTCTGCAGCTCATCAGCACGCTGGAAAGCCTACAGTGCTCTGGAGTCACCCGAGTGGACAGAACAATCGAAAACTGCTGGTTGGCGCAGTGGGACGAACACCAGCCTCAACTTGTCTACCTCCACTGCAAAAGCGCGAGCGGAGCACCGACTCCGCACAGCTCGCAGCCGTCCTTCTGCCAGCACGTGCAAGCAACGCTGCTCCAACTGCTCCGCTGCTCCAAAGACAGCGACCTGTCCTCGCAGAGTGGCTTCAAGATCTTCGGCATCGTCATGGAACTGTTGGTCGAGGAAAAACCGCAGGCACTCTCGTGGGCCAAGCTTCTGCTTCAGTATTATCTTTGGGCGCCGTGGGCACTGCTGAAGCGCAGCTGGCCCGCAGAGCTTACAAGTCATCTTCAGCGCTGGCTGGACATCGAGAGAGCCGGTCTCTGCAAGAGGCTGTCAAACAGGATCCATCTAGACAATCTGCCATGCAGTGTGTTCCTCGAGCATCAAGCTGCGTTCCTGGTGAACGCTTCTGCGAGATCGCTCGCGGAGACTTCGCTCTTGCTCAATGACAAGGGCTACTTCAGAGTCCACGACCCTTGCACGGAGGAACTTTACCAGGACCGCATGTTGACGCCCTTATGATGGGCTCGTGGGATCCTTGTTTCGTAATGTTAATAGCCTGTTGTAATTATACCGACGAAGGCCCTCTTCCGTTTTCGCCATTTTGTAGGCATAATTTTTGTCGACACGTTTTGGCACACCGACGACTAGGCCGGGAGACCGGCGTGTAGAATATTCTGACACTGTGTGCAACGTTTTTGGGCGGATGTCGTCGCCTTCGCCATTTTTATTTATCATAAATGAACTTATGTTCTTGCTTTTTTTAAAACGACAAAAATAAAATAACATTTGGGCACAAAAGGCTTGCGATGCATTGTCTTCCTTCTATTTTGGAATAGTGAAAGGAGGAAAGTTTGGTTACAATCTTTTTGGTGCGTTCATTCAGTGCAAATCGACGCTGGGAGGCATCTTTACCTATGAAAATACAACTGTCATCATCACAATACTTGCATCCTCTCTTTTTGTCTCCAACAAGTTATCCGACAAAACCTTTTTACTTGCCCATAAAAAAAATACGAGGCAATAGACCTTGGTCAGTGGGAACCTTTATTTACAACCTTAAATAAACAAACTCTTATTAATAATGCTTCATTCCGAACATCCTATAAATGTCCACGTCACAGGCTCTTCCTCTCGACAAATAATATAGATAAAAATGCAACAAAACGAGCACTGCAATCATCAAAGAAGCTAGGTAAGTAAGGTGATAATGCAATTATTGCAAAGGTGCAAGCGAGCTGGAAAAGAATGACAATAATAATCCCCTTCTCCGGGGATTATTAACGTCATTATCTTCGTTAGGTAAGTAAAACGGTATGATGTTTACCGGGTAGCATTGTACACTTCTGTCACATCTATGGGGACCAACTGATGAGCTGATTATAACTCTGCTCTATCCTGTTTCACAAGCAAAATATTTGCATACTAAAAAAAAAGCAAACAAACAAAAGCTAGAACGTAAGCCACCATGCGCATAAACGAAAGCGGCTCGATCGATTTCCCCGCAACTCCTTCGCGCGTGCCACCAGATCTGACTTGCAAGCGCAGCCAATCTTAAAAACCTACCGGAAGTACACTATCCTGCACTTTCCTGCAACGGTGCAGGCTGGCACGGGAAAATCGAACGAGCCTGCTGTTATCACATTATATCGACACCACCCTGCATGCGCCTTCCCTCGGCGCAAAAGTTTGTTGGACGTATCGGAGGAAGTCTGCACGGAGAAACTAGAATCTCTGTCGGCCTCCCAAACATAAACTCAACACTAGTTATAGCTTGTTCTTTAAGGCACTTTGTGTAAACTGGCCTATCCATATATGGTCCAAAAGCCACTCTCGCTCCTTACCACCTAGAAGACAAGGTCTTTCCCCCCCCCCCCATCACTAGTGGATTCATGCAATGCCTCCCGACTTTCTCGCAACCAGCACAATGCTAGCATGCAGCGACGTCAGGACGAACTCGTCTGCCCCTTTGTGGCATCTGTCGTCGAGCTCTAGCGTGTTTGCCACTCCAGGTGGGTTGGGGATTCACTAGCGACGGCGTCATGCACAGGCCTTGTCTTCTCGGTGGTATTGTCCCGCCGCAAGTATATACATCTTTTTTACCTTAAAGTGGACTGAGGCAAATGTCGAGAGTCATCCGAACCGTTTAAACGTCGGGAGCATAGTCCAGTTGCAAGGACAGAAAGCAGACGTTTGGTGCATAATTGGACCTTATGGTTCACGTCATTTGCCAGAATTTGTTTGAGCCGAAAAAGAATATGCACAACTTTACCCAAGAATGTCTGCAGCAGTCCACTACTTGATCGCGTAGGTCTGTCTACAACACCGGTGTTCAATCGAAGTATGCTAGTGTGAGCGTGCGATGTCCGAGAAAAAGGCGAGGATGTCGTTGATGGTGAACTCCAGGGTGATCATGGACCCCGGGTAGCACCGCTGGACTAGCGCCTCGAGTGACTTGTACTGGCGGATGAACTCGTCCTGCATCGAATGCCACACCACCTGGGTGGGGACAAGCAAATTCACATTCCCATTTAAAACCGACTACTTGAAAAAGCTCATCTGCAGCGAGTAAGAGAACCTACTTTTTTCCAGTTCGTGTTTGATTTTTTTCACCGCTGTGCCCCAAAAAACATTTGAACAGGGTTCTGCTGGATTTGTAATTTTTAAATATTCTTAACTTAAATACTTTGAACAGTGAAAGCATGCTTCGAACTGGATAAGAAACAATACTGGCAAATTATTTCAAGATGTTTGTGCAGGCCTATGCTTTCTTTCGCCTTACATACGAGCACAGCGAATGCTACGAGCCACCCCAGCCAATAAGGCTCTGTGATGCATGTGATACGCTCTTCGCGAGTCACTGCACCCCCTCTACAAGGTCGCGTAGCACTCGCTTGGCCTTGGACTGGCTACGATAGCTTGTACCATCCGCTGCGATCGGTTGTAAGGGGAAACAGAGTATAGAAACTGTGATGTATCGCGAGTAAGACCCAGCTGCAGTCGTCAGTCGCTCGACTCGTTCGTTTTAATCATGGCTTCCGACTGACCGAGACCCGTGCTCTTTCAAACCGCGCGCTCCCAGCACGCGGAGACCGCGCGCTTCCCAACATGTCCCGCTATCTGCTATAGCATAAGCAGATACATTACATCTTCCCCTCACTTGGCTGTGATCCCGTATCTTGTGGGCGGTCTTCGCTCCCGCGTTCCTGCCCGGATGGGCATAGCCACAGGTTCGGACAGTTCGTGGCCATTCTGCACTTATCACATCAGCTGGTACCTCTTCAGCCTGAACGTCCAAGCCCCAGGCTGCTGAGGGTGTATCACTCGACCGACGCGCAGCTAATAGCCTTGGTCGTATGTGGTCCATGTGCCGTCGAACTAGTCCCTCTTCTGTCTGGATTATCTATGACCGCGAACCCAGGCGCTCTGTGATGACCCCCGACATCCAAGTTCGTCCACTTGGGAACTTCAGAACCCATACGGATTGTCCCAGCATAAACTGACGTGGATTTTCGGTTGTCGCTTGTACCTAGTCCTTGGGTATGTGTATCGGTCTCTCAAGTGGAGATGGCAACTCTCGTCCAAACATCATCCACGCTGGTGTCTTGCCTGTCGCCGTGTGCACTGTGGTATGTTGCTTGTAGAGGAACCGTGGAAGAAAACACTTCGATTCCTCCCTTTCTCTTTTAGCAAGTGCCTGCTTCAGCTGCTGCACCATCCGTTCCGCTTGACCGTTTGTTGCGGGGTGGTACAGCGCACTTGTGACCGGCAAAACTCCATTTAGGCGGTAAAATGTCTTTATCTCATTGGAACCAAAAGCCGACCCATTATCCGATACCACTTTTCGTGGTACACCAAACGTCGCAAAAACGTTGCGTAACTCGCAGATAACGGATGCTGAGGTCATACTCGAAATAGCACGTACTTCAAGCCATTTAGTGAAAGCATCCACAATGACCAGGAACACTTTTCCGTCCACCGGTCCCGCAAAGTCTACATGAAGGGTGTCCCACGGAGTCGACGGTCTTTCCCATGTTGGGCTGCTTCCTTTGGGTATCACCTCCTGGTGTCGCTAACACGTGTCCCACTTGGCCACACACGACTCAATCTCCTTGTCGATCCCAGGCCACCAGAGGTAACTTCGGTTGCAAGCCTTCATGGCGACCACTCCCCTGTGTCCTGCATGTACCAAGGTTAATGCCTCTGGTCTCATAGAAGTGGGAATTACGATGCGCGATCCCCAGATTAGGCAACCTCGGTGTATTGGTAGCTCCGTGGACTTCATCTTGTAGGCTGTGAAACGCTCGCCAGCTAGCTTCTTGACCTCTCCACTCTTGACTGCTTGTAGAACTTCAGAAAGCGTGGGGTCCACAGCAGTCTGGTCTGCAAGGTCTTTAGCTGTCATGGGAGGCTTAGTCAGTGCTTCCAGCATAAGAACGTCCCCTGGTGGTCGTGGTTCATCTTAACTTTTTGTTAATGGTAGTCTGCTCAACGCGTTTGCGTTTTGGTTGTGCTTTCTTGCTCTGTAGACGAGTTCGTAGTCGTATGCAGCTAATTTGTCACACCATCGTGTCATGCGCGGTGACAGAACCGCTGGTACTGGAGCTTTCGGACCCATAATCCCAAGCAAAGGCTGATGGTCGGTGGTTACTGTCACGTGACGTCCGGCAAGATATCGGTGTAAACGTTGCATGGCAAACACAATCGCCAGTCCTTCTCGATCTAATTGCGAATAGTTCTTTTCCGCTTCTCCCAAGGTTCTCGAGCTAAACATGATGGGAGCTTCGTTTCCGCCTTTGTCTAGCTGCGCTAAAACCGCTCCAACGCCATACGGTGACGCGTCGCATGATACCACCAAGCAGGGCCGTACCCAGAAAAAAATTTCGGGGGGGGTTTTCGGGAACAACGGCGGCCATTTTGAAAATGTCTATTGCCTTATTTTCGCCTATGAATCATGTGCATCGGTGGCATATAATGGAGAGTTAGAGCAAACCGGAGAACCGGTCCCGGTTTGGTACCCGGTAGCTGACCGGCGCCACTGCGCGTGCACAGAGGTGGAGATTACTGCAAGTGCACCGACCAGGGCCGTACCCAGAAAAAAATTTCAGGGGGGGGGGGGGGGGGGGTCAGAACCCCCTAACCCCCCCCTGGTTACGGCCCTGCCACCAAGCCTTTCTTCTCGCCATAATGTGCTAACACCGTTTCCTGGGTAATGGCTTCTTTCAATTGTTGAAAAGCTTCCCGGTGCCTCTTGTCCCATTTCCAGGAAACGTCTTTTTGGAGGAAAGCGTAGAGCTCCTTTGCAATGGTTGCCCAATTTGCTATAAATCGGTCATAGAATGCCAACAGGCCGAGAAACGACTGCAAAGTTGTGCGATTCGTTGGCTCAGGCATCTCCTTGATGGCTTTGAGCTTATCGTCGGTAGCATGAATGCCTGCCGCATCAAGGATGTGTCCGAGGTACCGCACTCGATCAACTGCGAAACGACACTTTTCCCTTTAGAGACGAAGGTAGGCCTGCTGGGGAGGGTCGTGATAGTACCGTTTTGAGCCTTTCCAGATGTTGCGATGGTGTTGATCCACTGATAATTACGTCATCTAAGTATATTCCGATTCCAGGAATCCCTGCTAGCACTGTCTCCATAAATCGATGAAAAATCGCCGGAGCTGCTGAAATACCGAAAGGCATCCTCTTAACCCTAAAAAGTCCCTTTGTGGTGTTGATGGTCAACACGTTTGCAGTCTCAGCAGTCAGGCTCAGTTGTTGATAGGCCTGAGTGAGATCCAGAGTTGAAAACACTGATCTGCCCTGGAGATTCGCTAGTATCTCGGAAATCGTAGGCATTAGATACACCGCTGTATTTGCTTCTTTATTGACCGTGCTACGGTAATCTCCACACAATCTGATAGTGCCATCTTTCTTCCGTACGACTACGACTGGCGTGGCCCACTCCGAGTGTTGAGTTGGTTCGAGGATGCCCTGATTTTGGAGCATCTGAATTTCAGCCTCCACTGCTGTCCGCATTGCGAACGACACCGGTCGTGCCTTGAGAAAATGTGGCTTGGCATCTTCTTTCAACTCCAGGTGCACAGGTGGGCCATTGTGTCCGGTGATCTTGCAGTCGAAAACTTTGTTGTGTGTGCTTAGAACCCTTGCAACGTTGTCGTTGGCACCCACATTGTGTATTCCGCTCACTCGGATTCTTAGTGCGTTGAACCAGTTCCTTCCTGGCAGGTTGCAGCCCCTTCCTCGCGTCACTAACAGAGGTAGTACGTAGTCCTTGGACTTGTGTCGTACCTGGACATCGGCTGTGCCGAGCACTTCCACTCCTTCGCCTGACCAGGTGTGTAGGGTCACATCTTCTTGGTCTAGCCTCGGAGGGTGTTTTGGCCACATCCGACAATATGTTTCCTCGCTGATGATGGTGCAGGCCACTCCCGAGTCCACCTCAAAATCCATGACTCGATTTTAAATTTTGAGCTTGATCATGAACTTGGGTGATGTACCTGATGCTCGCACAGCATTAAGCTCGTATAGATCTGCCGAAGTTCCAGGGGAATCATCCTCGGTTTCAGATGCATGATCTTTTTCGATAATATGTGTGGAGTGCGGGTATTTCTTGCGTCCTGTCCTCGCGAAGCAAGCCTTTTCATTTTCAATGTGGCCCGTTTTGTGACAGAAGTTACATCGCGCGTTACGGAATCTGCAGGCAGCAGCTGAATGCTGTTCCTGGCACCTGTAACATCTGGTCCATTCGGATGTTCTCCTTTCCTTAATGTCTCTTTTTTTAAGTGTTGTCTTCTCTTTCTGGATTTCGTGACTTTCGGACTTCTCTGCTTTCAAATCCTTTTGATGTTGTGCGGCGCTCTCTGTCCGCAGCGCCATGTCGTGCGCCTTCTGAAAGGTCAGGCTTACTTCTGCAAACAGTCGCTGTTGTAAATGTTCGTCGCGCAGGCCGCACACAAAACGATCCTTCAACATTACCTCGAGAGGCAGCAACGTTGGGCTCAGTTCTGGCTGTCGAGCAGGAGATTGTGCTTCGCCTGCGGAACCTGCGTTGCTGGTGCTAGCTGTGACCGCCGCTGGGGTTGCCGTCAGAACTCCGAAATTGCAGTCGGCAGAAAGCTTCTTTAAAGCTGCGACATAGCTCGATATTGACTCGCCCACCTGCCGGTCTCTTCGCTCAAACCTCGTCCTGCTGAAAAGCTCCGACGGCCGCGGGTCGCAGTGTTTCTTCAATGTCGCCATGAGCTCGTAGAAACTGACCTCACCAGGAGTCTTTGGTGCCACGAGCGCTTGTACAATTTCGTAGGTTTTTGCCCCGCAAAGGGTCAGCAGTAAAGCCCTCTTCTTTGTAGGCTCCAGCACTCCGTTTGCTTCGCAGTAAAATCCAAGTCGAGCTGCCCAAGACGGCCACGCTGTTCCGTCAAATTCTTCCAGCTTGCCCTGGGTAGCCATCGTTCACTCGCCCTTGTGGTGTCCGTTCACCGACCTCGTCGCCAAAATGTGTGATGTATTGCGAGTAAGACCCAGCTGCAGCCGTTAGTCGCTCGACTCGTTCGTTTTAATCATGGCTTCCGACTGACCGAGACCCGTGCTCTTTCAAACCGCGCGCTTCCCAACATGTCCCGCTATCTGCTATAGCATAAGCAGATACATCACAGAAACGAGGCTGCCCTCACCTGCAGTAGGCTCTCCTCCTCGCACAGGTGCTTCTCCACCTTGCGGTAGAGCGCCTCCAGTCCCCGCTTTACCTCCTTGCCTGGGTACTCCCGGATGACCTTGCGCAGCTCCTGCTTGCTGAAGGCCAGCTGGTAGCCCACCTCCTCCTCCTTCACGCCCTGGGCCACCTGCATTCAGAAAAACCCAGCACATTGCACCATCCAGTCTTTCCCAAAAATGTTCAAATCAATGCAAACACTTTATCAAGTGCACAGAACGCACGGGATTGCGTGGCTTCACTTTTCGGTTTCGAAATGATTGCACAGAGCTTCTGGAACTCCAAAATGTATGTACTTCTTTAAAGGGACACTGATAGGGTATTTATGCTCACCAAGGTTTTTATTTGCACACGACATAGGAGAGCCCGACTACCCAGAACACAATTGGCGGCTCGAAATTCGTTTTCTTTCCACCCGAAAACTGCCAATCGAGAACTGGCCGGTTTGAGTCGCGCTCACTCTTTTCTTTGTGGTCACATGCTTTTCTCTACACTATAAACACACACCAAATATAATCAGTTATGAGTCCTCGAAGGTACACGCTCAATATTAAGAATATTAAAAAATATGATACCCATCTTTGTGGCTTCTAAAAAACCGCAAAAACGTCCAGTGAAAAAAAAAAAAATGCTGCACAGGGCATTGGAAGCAATCTATGTTTTAAATCCGTAATTCTCAACATCGCGTAGTGGGGGGGGAGGGGGGGGGGGGGGGGTCGCGGGCTGGACGGCTAAACGAAGCGGACCAAGTGATTGGACTGGTGCTTTCCCAACAACTACATGCCATTGCCCGCTTACTCTGATTTTTTTTATCTTTGTTCCGAGTTTTCTTTTTCTCAACTTGTTACTGAACCCACTCGCATTACCGATACTACAGCCACTGTGTTGGATTCTTTCCACTGACCCTAGCCTCGTCTCTTCCATAACCCACTTACCAGGAATTAGCGATCATTGCATTCTACACTTCAACTTGCATACTCCAATGCACATTTCAAATAAAACTACTAAGCAATTCCGTGGTTATAGTAAGGCAAATTTCGACACAATGAATAACGAGTTAGCTGCCTTCTTGGATTAATTCCTACTTTCTTTTTCAGAACGTTCGGTCGAAACTAATTGGAACTTCTGTAAAAATAAGGTAAATTCTCTAATCACACTGTTTATTCCATGTAGGTCCTTTGTTTCTAAACCACAGTCTCCTTGGTTTAATGTCACCCTGAAACGTCTTTCTAATAAGAAGAAACGTTTTTTCTGTGCTGCGAAGTCCTCTGCCCTTACTGCTCGTCGGGATCTTTACAAAGAAGTTTCGAACTCCTATAGGAATGCTGTGAAAGAGGCAAAAACATTTTTTTTTAATGTAACCTTACCTACCATGTTATCCAATAGCACCAAGCAATTTTGGAGTGTTGTGAACGACCCCAAAAATACTGTTCTCTCACTTACAGGGGATGATGGTGTCGATATTCCGAGCAAGCACTGAGCATCTGTACTAAATGATATTTTTGTAAAAGCGTTTTCTAGTGATGTTGACTCTAACTGCCCCAGTTATCCTGTTTATAACTTCTTTCCAAGGGACCCGCTTGTTTTTGATTATGACGGGATTGTTAAATAAATCGATGATCTTAAAGTGTCCTTGTCGAGTGATGTTGATAACATGAGCTCTAAATTTCTTAAATCTACAAAAAGTTACATTTCAGTTTTCCTTCTAAAATTTTCGAACAATCACTTGACCTTGGCATTTTTCCGGACGATTGGAAAATAGGAAAGGTGGTTCCACTTCATAAATCAGGTAACAAACATAGTCCTCTTAATTATCGACCCATTTCCTTAACTAGCACACCCTGTAAAATTTTAGAACACATCATTTACTCTAATCTAGTTAGTTTCTTAGATTCCAATTCTTTTTTTTTCACCCTCGCAACATGGTTTCCGGAAATCCCTGTCATGTGAAACACAACTTCTAACTTTCACTAATGATCTCTTTTCTATCCTTGACCGTGGATCTCAGGTTGACTGCGTCTTTCTCGACTTTTGCAAAGCCTTTGATAAAGTATCTCACCAACTACTGTTCCTTAAGCTTGACAAACTTAATATTGATCCTGAAGTTGTCCTGGATTAAATGTTTCCTAACTAATCGATCACAGTTTGTTACTACCAATGAGGCAAATTCTTGCCTCAGCGCCGTCACCTCATGGTGTTCCCCACAAGTCCGTTTTGGGACCCCTTCTGTTTCTTATTTATATTAATGACCTACCAATGTGTGTATCATCCCCTATTAGCTTATTCGCAGATGATTGTGTAATATATCGTGAAATTACTAACGAATCTGACGCGGCACTTCTTCAAGCAGATTTATGCGCGGTATCGGAATGGTGCAACTTATGGCAAATGACTCTGAATACTAACAAATGTAAAATTATGAAGGTGTCTCGTTGTAACATATCACCATCACCATACTCAATATGTAATATTCAGCTGGCATCTGTAACCTCTTTCGAGTATCTCGGTGTTCACGTCACTTCTAACCTATCGTGGAAAACTCATTCTGATCGTATAATCTCTAACGCAAATTCAATGCTTGGATATCTAAAAAGAAACTTTTCCTTAACCCCTATGTCCCTAAAACTTCTCTTGTAAAAGACTTTAATACGTTCAAAGTTGGAAAATGCCGCAGCAATTTGGGATCCAGGTCACTCAACGTTTATAACAAACATAGAAGCCATGCAAAATCGCGCCGCACGATTTATAGTCTGCAACTATCATCGCACCGCAAGTGTCTCACCTATGAAAACCACCCTAGCCCAGCCTCTTCTTTCCTCACGTCGGAAAATATCTCGTCTATGTTTCTTCCATAAAATCTACCATGCCAATGCTTCACTGAAAAACAAACTATCCATTAGCCCCCCCCTTCATTTCTCCCCGCATTGATCACAAACTTAAAGTTGGCATACCTCATTGCAAAACTTCTGCTTACATCAACTCTTTCATCCCTAGAACGTCATCTAAATGGAACCACCTTCCCGCATCATTAGTAACTATTCCATCAATAGATTTATTTAGAAAAGCTCTAACTACTCACTTTTGCTAGGATTATGCCGTACTAACATTTATAACCAAGTTGCCTTGTTGTTTAAATTTTATGCAGAGCCAATATTCAATGTCCACCCCCCCTGTAATGCCCCTGGGCCCTGAGGGTATTGAAATAAATAAATAAATAAAAGTGATGGCAGCAGACGACGGGCGTGGCACCTCCACTTCAGAACTGTCGTTCGCGGTACCGGCGAATCTGCCTAGCCTCGAATGCGGAGTAGTTTACCAATCAAAACAATTAGGATTTATTCCGTTTAACACGCCCGACCACCAAGCTGATTTGCACGAAGATGTCACTGAGTCATCACTCTTTTTCCTGGCTGAAGACATCACTCCTCCTACAAACATGAATTGGTATTGGTAAGAGCTTGAAAAACGTGCAAACGTAAACGTTTGCGTTTTTCGTCGACTTCGTGCAGCTAGAAAAACGAAAGGAAAAAGAACTGCGGTCGGGTGTAGCAATCTCACTTCCGGCAACACACTCCTCCTCTACGTTTCTTCTTCCTCCCCAGTTCAGTTTCGGTTTCGAACAGTTGCGTTTTTTTACTTCATTAAAAATACATGTGACACTGTAGCAAAATATTGATTGTGTAGTCTTCTGACACCATATTAAATCGCCTGTCAAAAAATAAAAAAATTAATTTTTGGGTGGGTGTTAGGGTTTCGTTAAAGAAAGGCAAAAAGTAAACGAATTTGAAAAAGACTTCAGATTTTAATGTAGGCACATTAAAGATCAGGCATGTAAAGTTTTCTTCAAATTTTATCAGTAAAAACAACATAACCACCAACTGTAATTGTGCCGCAGCTCTGCCCGCTGCTGCATGCCGGGAGAAAGCGAAAGGAACACTCCCAAAAATGACGTCATCGGCCGTGCCACAGACAACAAATCACACCATGAGCTCTTTCTAGAAAGCGTGGAGATCAATGCAAACACTTTATTAGGTGCACAGAATATGCAGGATTTATTCTTCTCTGGTCTCAAACACAGATTGGTTCTGAAACTCAAAAATTCGTACTTCTTTAAAGGGAAAAGGTTTCTCAATTTCAAAAATACTGTTTGAATGTATAGGCACTCTAAAGATCACCTGTGTAATATGTAAAGTTTTATTTCAATTTTATTAACTGTAATCGTGGTGTAGCTCTGCCCGCTGCTACCAAGCACAGGATAAAACGAGAGAGGAACACTCAAAAGTTACGTCATTTGCGGTGTCAGATAGTACTTGCCTTTAAGCTAGCCCGCAAATGCCAAAGGTGAAATTACGACTTCTGTGACAGATAACAGGCGGCAGACATACTTGTCGCACGTCGTGCAGCAATCGCTGCGCAGTTATACAAAATAAAGTTGGCTTAAAATTATACTTCTGGCCAATTATAAGTGCCAGAAACAAATTCCACAAACACAAAACTATAGAAGGCCACACCTAACAAGGGCTAGAAAGAAAGTTGTGTGTGTATGACGGGGCTTGTGTTGTGACCCAAAGGAAGGAGAATCGAAGTTAAGGTTGTTGGAGGCATCCTTCAAATCCTATTGTCACGGACGGAAAATGGTGAAAGAACGTAAAAATGAAAAAAATGTTAAATGAGGCAAACTTGCACCTACAAACTAACAGATCGAGCATCCTGCGTCGGCCACAAGAGGGTGCCTGACCAAAGCAGTCCCTTACTACTGCTTTTATACAATCGATAAGTTCAGAAATGTCCTGAACCAGAGCACACGATGACAGCCGAGAACAAGCTGGAACTTTCTTTCAAAAATATAAAAGAAAGAACCGGTTCAAGTGGAGTTCTAACCCCAATCTTCCACGTGCCAGCTGTGTGCTGTACTTATTTAGAACACAATATTGTATTCTAAATATCCTCCACCGAAAAACAGCACAATATTTAAATAACCAGCACTCGCAGCATCCCTAAATACCTATTCTGAGCTTCCTGATGAGTCCACACCGGCTGCTGGATTGGAAAGCAATCCCCTTTTAGCCAGGTGACTAGATAGAACTCGTTACGTTTCAATGCACTCGCACCACACACTGCACTGGTGTCACGTCGCCCGTCACTGTGGCTGCGTTGCTGCCGAAGATGTACCTTGTGCAGCGTGTTTTGCATAACTGATTTTGTTTTTCTCGGCAAGAACAAGTAGCAATGACCAGCAGCATGATACAATGTTGTCACGTGCAAGATATGTATTACACAAGGTACAGTCGCAGACGACACGAAAAAGCCCAGGCGAGCGTGTGGCTCCAAAGAGCCACGGCGCTACCTAATGAAGACAGCGAAGTTATCTTCGAAGTTATTTTGTAAACAAGCAGCATTTCAGTGGCCGTTTGATTTTTGACGTCACTCCCCACCATGGTCGGCAAACAATTGCAGAGTTAACACCAATAATAGTAGTGCTCTGTGAAATAAAAAAAAAAATGCTTACCATCATCTATCCCGCGTACCAACGCCCGAAAACTTGTAGCTCAACCTACCAAGCCGATAGTTTCAGCCCGGCTTTATTTTGCCTTCTGTTGCGTCTATACATTGAGCGTTGAAGTCAGCTAACTTGGGGACAGAGAATCAGGCAGGGGAGTGAACACAAGACTCGATAATGGTTGTGAGCTCTCTTCCGATAGGTAGCGCTGCAGGCCTTCCCAAACTGTACAGTTGGAAACCCGAGTCAAACAATTGCCTCGTGGCCTCCTTGTATCGGTCGAACCGACTTGCCTTTCCTTGTACGCCCTCGAAGAAGAGGTTCAGCTTGTCGAGCGGGCGACCAAAGTAGTGGGTCACGTACGCCTGGAGCGCTTCCGAGTAGCGCTGCTTGGCCTCCTTTCGCTCTGGCTCGAGGCAGGCAATCTTCAGCTGGTACAGCAGCGTGAACAGGTGGTGGAAGTTCTCCATGCGCACCACCTGAACAATGCAGACGTGAACATGGAAGGTGGGACTATCCCAAGTCTCGTGGTTAAGGGTTCTCCATGCGCACCCCCTGGGAGGGTCAATTTTTGGACCCTTGGCTTAAAATTAATTAAATTTACAGGGTAGGCTGGTGGTCATGCTAGAGGGTGCATAACAAAATTTCGGGTCTGTTGGTTAAATGGGAAGCAAATTAGAGCAGCTTCTATCAGCAACTCGCCTACATTGTTTAGTTAATCTATCGTGGGAAAACTATCCCAATATTCAAGGTTCTTATTCGCTAGATATCTAGCAGAATGCCTAGGGGGTGCGGCTATGAAAAGATTTTTGGAAAAAGTCATTTATTTTTATAAATTGTCTCTTCTGCAAAATTGGTAAACTGTTTGGTTTTCTGTGTCTTCAACAAAATGTCAACATTTTTTATAAAAGACATCTGTAAAGGGACAAACAAATTTCATAGCCGCACTCCTTATTAAATTTCAGTCAGAAAAAGGGAAGAATGAGCCTTCCCTGTGTTACCATTATCAAACGATAGATTGACTAAAATGGAATTTATACTAAAAAGTGGAACGGAGAAAAATGTGTTCAAAGTGCTCCAAACCCTACCTTTTCTTTAGCTTATGTGGACAGAAAATAATTTATAAAAAATTAACAATGCAGTGTAAACTAATGAAACTTTCTGGGAATATTCTCTAGATGCTGGTGGATGTAAATATGTCATTTCTCAAAATCAACATTTTTGCAGAAATTTCTTTTTCTGGGTAGTGTCCCCCCTTAATGTCGATGTAAGAACTAAGATAAAGAAAAGGAGAATTAGTACAAGCGTAATCCCCCTAATACGAGTTCTCGAACTGGGCCTTAAATCATGGTACCTCAAAGTATCATAGTTACTAGCATATTGAAGACATTTTTTGCTTTTTTTCCAAAAAATTAAAGCAAATCTTGGGGGTGCTTTCATTAAAAAGGGTGATATTTTGCGCATTTACATATTTCGCAAAAATGTCCTTTTTGTGCCCGTCTGACAGGGACATAACTGTGGCGCGTCTCTGCCGACGGAGGCGCGCTAGAGTAACAATGCTCTACAAATTGCGAACAATTCCAGGGCACTTTCAGAGTTTCTTTCACCAATTAAAAAGCACCGCACAGCACTTGACACAGTTTCCACGTCAGTGGCACTAATCAAGGAAAGGCAATGCAACCATTCCAAGGCCTAATAACTTTGATGACTTCACTGCCCAAAAACAGATTGCAAGCAACGCCACGTTTGTTGACATCATGCAATCTGTCCGACTGACAAAACATTTCCAAGGGCTGGGCAATTCTTGACCAAAGCTTTATTGGCCGTGAACGCCGCGCACTTACATCGTACATCATGTCTTTATCTTTCCTCTTTCAGCTATTCGCGACTCCAATTTACTATAGGTGGCGCCACTCATTTCTTGAATTGGCGGTTTTAGTGAGGGTCAGAGATGTGTGCCGGTATACCAGTTGCTGAGCCTGTCTACTTTGCTGGCTTCACTAAGCGATACAAATTATTCCTGCTTATCCGAGAAAGCTAGGGTATTATGAGCACGGGTCACCTCCTTATCCTGAAAAAATAAAGGGTGTTTAGCATAATATTTATGCGAGGACTAGGAGGAACGTTTTAATTCTGGAACAAAACCGAAACTAACCTCTTCTTTTTAATTTAATTTCTCGGTATAGGTGTTCATTTAGGCTTCTTTAATAAATTAAGATGTGTCTCACAGTGTAATTATTCAAATAAAGTTGTTCGTGGAAAATTTATTTTGTGACGTACGTCTCCGCTTTAGGCAGTTCAAGATATTTTGGAGTCCAGTGTCCCTTTAGAGACAGGGCTTTTCACACCCCTTTGAGGCAACATAAAATAATGCATTTGTTGAAAAACATTGGTGCTGATATTTGTGTGTTCTTGCCACCTTTCCTCGTTCGGATAATTGTCATGTGAAATAATGGACTGCGGGCCTTTTATTGGGTCTGGAGGTATTCAAATGAATAACTGCCTTAACATTATTCCCAAGCACAAGAATAACAGAATCGATCTGAACTTTACAAAATATCACCACGGATGATGAGTGTAGAATATGTTCATGAAGCGTATAAATAAAGAAACGCTGTTCTCACTACAAAACCCAAACACGAAATCATTGTCAGACAGCAGAAGGGTGTGTGTATGTATTTTTTTTTTTTAACGTGTGACACATAGGAATTTATATTTTATCCAGCTTTGAATGTTTGTCTATCTTGATGATGATTTCATAGCTTTTATATGCTAAAAAGAAAACAAAATGAGACCTTCCTGGAAAGATTGTTATGGTTAAATGGCATATTTTTGCGATTGTGGCGTTTATTGGGAAGCCCACATTGCCACAAATTGTATTAATATTAATAACACAATTAAGATATTTTAATACATAGTTTCTCAAGCTCTAATTTGTTGCTTATGATCTAATTTCAAATGCACGAACAAGTATGGCACTCAAACATGTGCAAATTATCATCACTGGTGTCAATTGCATCCTTTTTAATTAACAAGTTATAAAATAAAAATAGTCTAAAATCAATGAAAAAATTCTAGTCAATTTGAGAAATCCATGTAACAATACACAACTTGCAGTGGGTATCAAAGTCGAGACTTTTGACAATCAGCAAAACTTCCAAGGGCGCCGTCAATCCTCCTGGACAAAATTCACCCCCCCCCCCTCTAAAAAAATAAATAAATAAAAAAACATTTTTTTTTTTTACTTAGTTTTTTTTAGAACAATTTGTTTCTTTAATTTTTATGCGCTGTCTTTTTCCCAATCTCAGCATTTTCCAGTTCGAAGGAACGCTTACCCGCTTTCCCCGTCGGATCACTGCAGCACATTTCGTTGGTGTTGGAAACCGGTGAAACAGTACTGAGTTTTAGCATTGTGCATACGAGCGAATGCAAGCACTGTGTGTTTGTGTTGCATGTTCTGCACTGCGGGTGCACAAAAATATGGTCTTAAATTGGAGCCTGGCGACGACGCGCAAGCACAGCGTGGAGCACGCAACTCTAACACAAACGCACAGCGCTTGCGTTTGCTTCCACAGGCAACACTAAAACTCTGTAATAAGGTACATTCCCATACCGGCTGCAGCACTACATTGGGACAGTGAAGAGTGTTGTTTGCATTCGGAAATGACATTTCGCAAGCCAGGATCGCGAGGAGTTCCGCCGCACCCGCCGAGCGGGAGAACCGGGTGACCCTCACTAGAGGGCTTCCCTTTTCCGCCGCTGGAGGGCGAGCAATGAGCTGAAGACGCGAATAGTGCGTGCGGGAGCTGCCATGTTTGGCTCTGCTTGGCCTGGCCGCTTGTCGGATCAATTGACTTGGAGGCTGGCTTAGTAAAACACAGTTCGAGGCTTGGGAAGTCGAAAATAGGGGTGCATTCCTTATGCGTAGAAAACAAATCAAAATATTGGCTAGTGCGGCCTTCAATATGCGAGTAAATATGGTATTGCAATGGTTTATTATCTCACTAAACAGATTTATACTTGCGAAAATGGTGTTACCTCGGGAGGTGTGCGCTGGTGGTCGGAAGCAAGGCGCCCAATGGCCTCGAACATGGCGCGCACCAGACGTGTGTACCACTTGTCAAGGTCCGCCCTGCGATCGGAGCCCCGGAAGACTGCCTCTGCCTGCTGGGCAAACTCCTCAAACTGGCTGATGAACGGCAGGATGCCGCACTTGGACTTCTTGGGAGCCTTGGCCTCCTCTATTGATCTCACCTGCACCAACAAGGGAGTATCAAGTCCAGAGTAAATGAAGAAGCCACACTTCTTGCCAAAAATAGCCGAGAGTAGTCAAACGTAGCTAAGGGTAGCCAAACATAGCCAAGAATAACAAGTAGCAGAAGAGTAGTCAATTTAAGAAAGAGGGCCAAGCTCCATTTAGAGTCCTTCGAGGGATAATCAAAATTAATTGCCAATTTGTTTGTATGCCATTTAATTCATTGATGGGAGTAATTCATTCATTCATGTCACCCCACGTTTATTTAAGCACCAGCTTGTTGTAGAAGCTTGCCATTTTGTAGCCAAGAGCATCGCTGGTACATTGGCATCAAACAAAGGATTCAAAATCGAACCCTGAATTCACACTACAGACTTTGGAGATCTCCGCTCCTTTCTTGCAGTACAGTTTTAAGAAGCGGACGAATATAAAGCTCCTTCTGTATTGGGCTGGTTGGCAAAAGTCGGTGACACATCTGCTTTTGCAGTAATTGTGTAGTTCGCTCCTTGTCCTTGGCAGTTGTTAGGAGCATTATTCTATATCGGCAGTCACCAAGACATTATGGCACCACCTTATTCAGTATCGTGAAAAAAAAAGCCGCGAATGTAAGCCTTTCACGTAGAGATGGTCGTGCAACAGATCCTTTGACCTCCCATCGTGCTTTTCCAACCTACTTTTGCAGCTTTATGTTTTAGCCACAAAGTGTCTAAAACATACTTTTTGATTCAGTGGCAAAGATACAACTTAAATATGCATCACAGGCACTTCTGACATGAAAATAAACTCTTTGACTTAAAAGTCTGGACTTCATGGAACAAATATGTTACGAATTTCGCGCGGCGGCGTTCGGTCTGTGCATGGCATTGAAGTAGTGCCCGTTGTCACTGTGCACAAAGTAAACTTGTCATCGGATGAAGTTTGTCGGTTGTTTGCCACATATTTGTTTTATAGAGCCCAGCCTTTAGGGAAGGTGCCTAGCGTAAGCTATAGGTGCGGCTAACTTGAGAAGTTTAATTGTGAGCAGTCATATACGATGTTCAGAATTTCATGCCTTGTCACACCAATGCAGTTGTCTGTTGTGGAGTCTTAAATAGGGATTTCTTTGAAAGACTTTTTAAACCCTTTTGAAACCTTCTGCTCAGCACTAGCATGAACTACAAATGCGATGAGAGAGAGCACCTTGTCAGCCATAAATCGGTCGAAGTTCCGTTTGGCCTGCACCACCACAGTTCCAAATGCCATGCTAAGGAAGGATCCCGTGTCCTGGGCAGACATCACGTGCTGGTTGAGACGCACCAGAAGATGCATCGAGTATGCACCGTCCATTCGGTCGTAAGTCTCCAGAAAACTCTGCAACTCGGACTCCAGAGCAGGAAACAAAAGTGCCATCATCTTCCGCAGTTCCTCATTGAGCTGACGCTCCTTGCGATGCACCGAAGCCAAAGTCTCGTCCGAAGAGGCACGGGCGGGACCAGCAGCCATCAGTGCTGACGCTGTCTGCCCGCTTGCAGACGGATGAATACGTGGCGACGCCAGGCCAAAGAAAGCAGCACAGAACTGTTGCTCGGCCAAGCAGACGGGCTCCAGCATGCTCAAGATGCGCTCGAGGACAGAGTCGAAGCGATCCCGGTTCTCGGCGGCCTCTATTGCCGAGAGGTCCTGGTTAGAACCACTGCTAGGGGAACTCCAGGTGCCACGGCGATCCAATGTAGCAGTCTTGGAAGACAACCGGTCTCGTGCCTGCTCAAAGAAGGTCCTCAACTCCCGTTCGTACAACTTTCCCATGGTGGAGATGTAAAGCTGCTGGAGAGACTGAAACCGCGATGCGTCGGCCCTTGAAAGCCAACGCATGAGGTCCGAGTATGGCCTCAATTCGTTATGACAGCCGGAATGCTTGACCAAGGTTAGTTCAGCCGGAGGGGCCGTCTCAGAGGCAAGACGGAGGAAGAGCTTATTGAGCGTATGTGACAAACTCGTGCTGAACTTGTCCCTCAGCTTCTCAAGGAGCTTCGTCTGCTCCTGGACAGCAGCCATCTTGGAAAGCCCGGGGTGCGTGTTTGCTGAGCAGGCATCCTCCAAAGCGCGTGCGGCGGCCGTGCAGGCGCGGATGCCGTCTTGCGTTCGCAGGTCCCCATTCAGCAGTGCCATCTGGTGGCCATGTGCGAGGTCCAATTGGCTGACGAGCCCCTCCAGCTCAGCCAATAGTCGCGCATTGTTTTCGTTCTGGACGTGGATCACCGCGTCTTTTTCCTCCATCCGGAGAACGCTGTCCCTCACAGTCCGGAGCAGGTGGTCGTACGCGTCTAAGCGGCGCTCCAGCTTGCTGACTTGGTCGAGCGACGCCTGCGTCATTTCCATCAGTCCCTGAACCCGCCGCTCCGACTCCATGATGGTGTAGACGTTCGAGGCATCTAGGGTGGCCAGTTCTCGCGCGAGCTGCTCGGTGAAGGCCTCGGCGTTGTTGATGGCGAACTCGTACTTAGCCATCAGGCTTTCCAGGTCGCTCTCTTCCCGCGCCGTCAGTGCTTGATAGTCGTCGACGTCATCGCCGCCGGTCGCCTTGTCCGGCACGACGACCCTCGAGGCGGCGTCATCTTCTTCGAGGACGCTCTTGGGGACGTGCTCGAACCGCGGTCGCTGCTGGTGGGGCGCGTAGTGTGCGCAGAGTCTGTACAGGCAGCGCAGGAAGTCGTTCCGTTCTTGGACGCTCACCGCCTGCCATTTGTAAACTTTGTCGAAGTGGAGGTCGAACTCGGCGGTGTCTTCTTTGCGGGCGTCCACTAACCTGAGGTCTCTGAGCGACCAGCTGTTCTTCTTCTTGTACAGGTCGCGGTCGCTGCTCTTCACCTGGCAGATGGTGACGCGCACCGGTTTGTCGGTGCTCACCACGGCGCACAGGAGACTCATCTTTTTTTTCTTGGTCGCCTTCACCACGTTCACGAAGTCGACGAGCCGTTCATCGTTCGGACGGAACAGCTCGCATTGGAGCGAGTGTCGCGTCGCAGCCATGCTTTTCTGGACTGCGGACGATGAAGCTCCTAATAGCTTTTTTTTTTTCTCTCTCACAGGTACCTCGCCGGTTTGGGTTGCAATAGAAGGCGTTTCCCAGCGTTTCCCTGCTTTTTTTGTTTATCTTTCTGGTCGGTTTGGATTGAATTGGCTTGGCTTAAACAGAAAACATTAAAAGTGGTTGCCAATTTTACTTTATTTCTGCTCCAGGAACGTCCAAAACGTCTTTGAACCATAGCGTTGAACCCTTTTGACCTTTTTATAGGCCGTTTTTTTTAAGCAGCTAAAAATACAAAATATAGTATGAAAGCAGCGCGACGTGAATGACCGTTTTTCTGGTGTGAGTGTGAGTGTGAGTTTGAGGGTGAGTGAATCTACTTAGCGCTTCTCCAACAATAGTATGAAAGGTCGTGTTTTGTAAAAAAAGAAAAACTTTTATTTTGAGCACTGATCTCTATGACAATTGCTGGATCGCGCTTCCCCGCTTGTTCGCTGCAGCGCAAGTGAAGCCACCGGGCTTCACTCGCTTGGGATACGATTTGCCGTTTTTGCTAGCCTTTGCTGCGGTTTTCCAGCGTGCTGACGACACGTTTTCTACTCGTTCGTCGTCATTCGCCGAAGAAGTTTTTTGAAGACTCTGTGTATTGTTGAGACTTTCCGTTGTGAACACGTGGAAAATTTTACGAAAGTGCAGTGTCGCAGGAAAAAGGCACAACGCGTCGAAAGGAAGGGCTGGCGGCGTGTTCAAAGCATCCTTGGCACGCCGAAGTGCCGTGTCTCTGTGCCTTCGCACGCTTGGATACCGACCAAGAACCGACGCCGTGTGTATGTGTTCAGCGAGTGCAATGTGCGTGAAGCTGTTCGTGCCTCTGGATCAGCGTCTTTTCCCCTCGCGGTTTAGGAACGAGCTTGATCCAGCGTCCACTAGCGACGGGAGATGGGGAGAAGGTACGTCTTTTTTTCGTCCTTAGACGATTTACACAATACCGTGCACAACAGCTCCTCATCACTGATCAGTGCTGGCTTATTATCAACCTACGCGACTCGCCTAATTGTAATTGGTCAACAGATTGCACACGACCATATCGGCCGCGCTTCAAAGATTTTCATTCTCGCCGTCTTGTACTTTTGCTTTCGAAAACCCCCCTGGCTCCACGTACAACGTTGCCCTATTCGTTCTCCCACGGAATCTATTAGAGTAGATTTGGGACATAGCCATGGTTAATATAGAACATAAGAATACGTACAGATCTCCCCCTTTTATTGATAGCAACTCACCGGAACAGCTGGACGATCCAGAACTCCGTGGCCAATATATATAAATGATCTAAAGGCATCTACGCGCGACACACGTTCAGAACTTTGGCGCGGCGTCAATTCTTGACCGGTATCCAAGCGTGCGAAGGCACAAAGATGCATCACTCAGCGTGCCAAGGAAGCTTTGATCACGCCGCGACACCGGCGACACGTTTTCGACGAGTTGTACCTTTTGATACGGCTTCACGCACATTGCACTCGCTAAACACATTCACACGGCGTCGGTTCTTGGTCGGTATCCAAGCGCGCGAAGGCACAGAGACACGGCACTTCGGCGTGCCAAGGATGCTTTGAACACGCCGCCAGCCCTTCCTTTCGACGCGTTGTGCCTTTTTCCTGCGACACTGCACTTTCGTAAAATTTTCCACGTGTTCACAACGGCAAGTCTCAACAATACACAGAGTCTTCAAAAAACTTCTTCGGCGAATGACGACGAACGAGTAGAAAACGTGTCGTCAGCACGCTGGAAAACCGCAGCAAAGGCTAGCAAAAACGGCAAATCGTATCCCAAGCGAGTGACGCCCGGTGGCTTCACTTGCGGGAGCGGCAAGCGCGATCCAGCAATTGTCATTGAGATCAGTGATTTTGAGTATTTGAGTTAGTAGTGTTTGGGATTTCAAATAAAATTACCAGATGGCGCTACCCAATTTCAACCGATGTCTTTTTAGGTTCTCCACAGATGGCACTACAAGTCGGCATTCTTGTTAATTTAGTTCTGTTTTTGTTATTATTTGGTTCTCCCGCATACGATTATAAATTAAGCGATATTGATGTAATTTAATTAATCTAAAAAAAGACATTCTACTGAACATAATGTTGGCGAGTTGTGGGTTTTTGTTCTAAACTGTGGCGCCAGATGACACCATCTACCCCCCGAGCCTGACTCCATTCAGTCGGCATTTGTATCATATATGCCGGTGATAATATAACAAAAATAATTAAAAAAAAAAAGTGAGCTGGTGGCTGTGAATTTTCAGGAAATGTTGTCATTTATGTGAACTGCAGACTCAGTTCATTTGATAATATATGTTTTATTTTTTTTTACTTTATTAGTTCTTGAATAAACGAGACCTTCTAAGGATTAGCTTTTTCTAACGGTGGTCTTTGTGTCCACTACATGTGGTTTTAGTGCCCACTCCGTATCTTCACATCTTGATCGTGTTGTTTGTTTAAAAGTGTCTTTCAATGACTCAATGTATTGTTGGCGTTTGAAGCTAGCCGATTGAAAGAACTGGAACAGGAATTAAGTAATTTTAAGTTTGAACACCAAACCTAACCTAACAAACCTCGTCGCCGTTTTGCCCCAAACGTTGTGGGCTTTTGATCGTCGTTGGTCATCTTCTCTCGAGGCGTGGTCAAGCTCGATCGGCCCCACTTTAGGCGCCAGTGTGGGATTCCCCTGCGCCGAGAGGAAGGATTGATGACCAATGCATTCTATGAAAAATAAATTTTCTGCATGTGTTCCTTGTGAGCCATCCTTAGGTGGACATTAAATCAAACTCTCAAGCAATCAACCCGTCACCACCAATTTTACAAAGCGAGTGAGTAAGGAGAACAGCTAGTTCTAAAATGGATAAGACAAAACAGCCTTTATTTAGCTAATAATTTAGCATTCCTGCACAATTCACCGTTCCGTCAACGACTCGTAACCTCGGCAGTCAATGATGACATCGTTTGGAATCTCAAGGTGGATTTATTGACGCCAAGAACGGCTGTTTCCGGAGACATATCATGCAACTTTATCACATTCTGTTAAAATTTTGTATTTTCTTTTTGAGTCGTGACTTCCAGTGCATGCATAGCCCACGTGGGTGAGCTACGTGAACGTCGCCACACTAAGCCTAACAGAGACGCAGGAAGAAACGTTGTTCTTGGTCGTCAGTTAGGTGACGAAAGGTAGCTCTGTGATTTGGTGTTCTAACCATAGCACTAACTGGGACTCTGTGTACTTTATATCCGCGGCAGTGTTTTTTTTTCTTAAAACAGGGGATCATGACGTGACGTCACAATGGTCTGCTACCACGCGTAAAATGACAGCTGTTTTGGGTCGTAATGTGGCTCCATGAACCTAGTGTCCTGGGGTGCTATTCTGGTCGCAAACGGGTACCTTTCGAGTTGTGACGTATCGAGAAAGAAGGGGCGGAGCCTCAAACTAGAATGATTCTTGTTTGAGGCTCCGCCCCAACGTTCGGGTTCACGCACGTGGTCAGCTAGAATCTGACGATGCCCTACGTCGCGGTGACGTGTCCACCCAGTTGGGGCGAAGAAATGCCTGCATTTCCCCCTGTTCTTTTTGTTATCTTCTTCTTTTCCTCCGGGACTTAGAACGAGCGAATAACGGAGAAAAGGCTACCTTCCGAAAAATGGAAGGAAACAGAAAAAAAAAAAAAATATATTATCCTTTTATAAGATACAAAAGATTATTTCAATAATTATAGCGTAAAGATAATTTAGCTAAGATATCTCAGCTTTTTTTCTCGAAGTCTTTCGCTACGGTCTTTGAAAACAAACTTGGCGAAAACCGCGGTAACGACCTTGTCGTGTTTGTGTCTCGTTTGCGTCGTTGCTTTCCCTGCTTCTGCACAATACGGATGGCATTACGAGAAAAAAAAAAAAATATTACGTGAAGTTGCGCTGTGACACCGATCATCCTTTGTGAAGCCGCCGTGAACATAAGCTGCAAATGAAATTTCTTGTTTGCCAGTGAAGGAGACTTCAAATGGATACAGAGCTGACGACGACTCTGTGGTAGTATATGACAAGTGATGAGATCGACGCGGAGTGAAACGGTTGTGAGCAAAAGAGCATTGTATGGATGATGCAGGAAAGTTTCTTCGGGCAGTTTTAATAATGCTTTGCTCCTTTGCTCACTGCACTGATTATGCCGGTATAGTCTCCATAAGCCATGCTCTTCTCTTTCGGCGCTGAAGAAATGCACGCGACGGCATAATTTCGGGCAGTCTTTTTTACTTATTTTTATTTGCAGAATAGCTCGTGCAAAAAAAAAACGGCTTTTACGTTTTCACTAGGGATGCCGCGAACTTTTTTCGAATCGAAGTTTCGATGATCGAATCAAGCGGTTCGAAAGGTTCGAAAGATTTCGATTTTTCGAATTGTCTATATCGTAAAATTCGACGGAGGTCGAATTTTCGAACTTGTTAAGCTAGGAAGTTCGACGCTTTTCGAACCGTCGAACTTATTACGCTAAAAAATTCGATCTTTTTCGAACTTTCGAATTTATTGCGCTGCAAGGTTCGATGCTTGTCGAACTTTCGAACTTGACTGACCAAAAAATTCGATGAATTTCGAACTTTCGAACTTATTTATCAAGATAATTCGAAAAGTTTCGAACTTTCGAATTCTGAAAAGTCAGAAGTTCGACGAACTTCGAACTTTTAGGGTAAAAGTTCGACGTTCGTCGAACTTCGAAAGACCGGCGGACGGTTTCATTTGATTTCAAGTAGTGGGGTACATTCGTAATTTTTTTTTTTCTCGAACTTTTACACGCGGTGCTGCGTTCCTTACGAAAGACAATGTCGTTTATTTCAATGTTCTGGCATGCTTAGGTTTAAAGAAATAAATCCCCGAAGGGGCGAGGAAGGACGACGGGTTTTCGACGATTATCATTTGTGCCAGATTTGAAGCACGCTGCAGCCGGAGCTATTCATGGTAGATAAGTTATACTTTTTTAAGAATGATCTATGTATAGCCTAGGTAAGTGCCGTCTTAAGATGTGATTATTGTTATTCAACGTGAGTTTCGAAGAAATGTCCAAACATGTATCTGCATGCAATTATGACCTAAACTTGATATTTATTTTCGTCTAAGTTGTTTGAGGTATCGCATTTAAATTAACACCACAGACAGTACATATCATTGCCATCTGCAGAATACAAAATAATATATTTATTGTTTTTTCACGTTAAGGAATAAATTAACTCATGGGAGAAGATTTCTAGTAGTGTTCAAGTTCAGCACGTCATTAAAAGAAAACTTTTTTTTTCGCTTCACGTTCCTGGGACGTGTTTCTTTTAGCCTGTACACATTTTGGTAAAAGAAACTTGTTTGGAAGTTCTGGACCTCTGAATATGCAAGAATAGAACACTTCCGACGAATTCTTGATAGTTTTTTTTTTTTTTTTTTCTCCTGCTTTTTATTCCCGCATTTATTTATTTTTTTTTTTTTCTTTTGTTACTATCGGCACAGGTGCTTAGGCCGAAAAGACGGCTTTGAACTTCCGAACCACTAAGCATGTGACGAGCAGTGCCTTCTGACAACGAGTTTCTAACAATGACCATCTACGCAACCTTTTACGCAGTGAAGAGCGACATTAGCTATACATATGCATAAATAATTTCAGATTAAAATAAGCTCGACCACGCCCTCTTTCCCCGTATTGTTTTCTTTAACAGTCCGAAATACCTGAAAGGGGAAGAAGGAGGCTGAACCCCCCCCCCCCCCCGCTACCCTCTTTCCCCCCGTTTTTCCTCTTCCGACGCCACTTGTATGGTAGAACGCTCCTCGACCTCGAGTTGTGTCGGCTTTTGTGCTCTTTGCGAGGCGATTCCTCCGTCCCAGAAAATAAACCTCCAGGACAATTATAAACTTCACCGGATCGGATTACTACCAGCGTGCAAGGGGTGGCGAGGTAGTTTGCCAGGTCGCTTCACGGTTTTTCTGAGCCTCAACCTTCTGCTCGCCCCTGGCCGTTTCGAACTGGAAGATTCTCGTAAAACAGTGTGTTCGTGCAATCACTACTGCGTGATGCAAATTAAAAGCCCCCCCCCCCCCCCCCCCCCCCGCCCCCCCGGGGCTGGCGGTCACAATTCTGCACTGGCAAATATTCTAGCATGTCCGGGACACTCGTCGTCTCATTTAATTGCCTGACCAACTTCGCAGAATCTACATATCACACCCTAACTTTTCTAAACTTGATTTTGTGAAAACCAGTGAGTCGTGAAAACGTTATTTGAAACTGAAACTGTGGAAAAACTTGAAAATCGGACTTCGAATTTTGAAAACTTGGATTAGAAAGAAATTCAAAACCTTCATTTTTTTTTTTTTTTTTAATTTAGCGTTAAAAGAGAATCGAAACCTTCGAACTTTTCGACCTTTATGCAAAAAGAAATTCGAAATCTTCGAATTGTTCGAACTTCATGTCTATATAAATTCGAAGCGTTCGAAGTTTTCGAATTTTTTTTACAAAGAATTTCGAAATCTTCGAATTTATCGAACCTGAAGTGAAAAAATAATCGAAATATTCGAATTCGAAATTTTAGAAACCGTGAAAGCTTCGAACTTTTCGAATTCGAAACTCCGCTGTGGACAAAAGTTGCGAATTTTTCGAAATCGAACCCCGGTCGGTACGAAAATATCGAAATTTTTCGAAATCGAACCTCAGTTCGCTTCGCAAATATCGAAACCTTTCGAAATCGAACCTAGGGTGGTTCGCGACATCCCTAGTTTTTACACGTCCCTACATAGGTACCTCGCTTTCCCATTGGCTTCATTGCGCGTGACGATTCAACGCCATTTGCCATGGAAACGTTCGTGAAACTAGAAAGCCTCTGTTTGCCGCTAACAGTCATTTTTCGAGTTCGGGTTGTGACGACAAAATGACGTAAGAACAAGAATGCACTGGACTATTTGCATTGTTTTAACTCGACAACCGTACCCTTGGCGAGTTAAACTCGAAAGAACATGGCCGCGATGCTCGTCGGATCGACCGCGGCTGGGGTTTGACATGCGATCGGTCACTTGATCAACGCGCACACGAATACTTTCGTGCTGTTGGATGAGCCCATTCGGCGGCAGGACCGGGTCGAAGAGCACAGTGAGCTGGCGTTTAACGTCTCCGATGTAACGCTTGGCGAGATGCAAGACTTGGCTTCTATTTGGGGAAGACGACGAAGCTTGCTCTTAGTCGGCGCCTGGACATTGCGTTCGTATTTCTGGCAGTTTTTGCTGTTTTGCAACTTACCCCGCGGCAACAGAACACTCTCACTGTCTCCTGCAATATCACCAACACCTTCACTGCAGGAAGTATCCTCGATAAACCGAAGGGTTTCCACCCGATGGTGCTCTGGACGGCACCGATCCGGTAGGCCTGATGGAATCCGATGATGCCACCTCGAAACCAATACTCGCCCCTGCTCGATTCGACATGACTTCTGTAACGCACACCACGCAAAACTTGCAGCCCAACATTTTGACGACTACTATAAAGTACTTACCACCTGAGGAATACGACACTGACACGGAAATTGAGACCTTCTCTGAAAAAGAAAAAACCGACGACCAAAACGATGTCGAAGATATGGAAGAACTGTATGCTTCTACCAATGAAGAGTCGCAAGATCCCGACAACCAGTACAAGACGGTTGAATCACGCAAACGACGCAGGGAGAGTACGGACTCAGAATCAAGTTCTCCCAAACCAGCAATCAACTGCCAGGCTCTTGGGCTCACCGTCATATTTACACCAGACGACCAAAACACCAACATCAAAAGCTTCAACCCTATCAAGCTTTCGGACTGCTTGAAAGCCAACTGTCCTGATGGAATTTACAGCATTCGACCTAACTCAAGGCTGAATGTGATTGCTGTAGACACTCGCAATTTAGATACAACAAGCACTTTACTGCGTATCAAGTCCCTTTGTGGGGTTCCGGTGAGTGCATACGAGCCCCGCTCTAAGAACATGGCAATGGGTGTCATCCATGGAGTACCGGTAGATATCAACGACAGCCAACTAACTCAGGCACTACTCTCAAAGACATCAATCGTTCGCATCCGAAGACTGGGAAAGTCACAATCTGTTGCATTAACATTCGCATGCCCAACTCTACCCGATGCGGTATGTGTAGGCTATGTGCGCCACAAAGTATATTTATACGTGGAAAAACCAACACAATGCCGTACTTGCGGTCGCCTCGGACACGTAGCTGCATCATGTGCATCCTCGTCTATTTGCACAAAATGCGGAAAAACGCACGACTCGACATCCTGTCCAGATGGACTACCCAAATGTGTCAATTGCGGACGTGACCATCCCTCTACTTCTAGAAGCTGTCCAAGATGGCAAGAAGAAAGGGATGTCGTTCGTTACCGTGTTCTTCACGGAAGCGACTATCCAACAGCAAAGGCAGCAGTAAAAGCTGATGCCTCTGAACACAATACCGATAACACAACTGGTCCCGGACACGGTCAAAAGTCAGCAGGAAGCATGCCAGTGAGTAACAAGCCACATAAACAACCAATTCAAGAGCCGCCCCCAGCATCGCAACCTTCCCAAAGAAAGGAAAACAAAAAGCCACTCGATAAACCAGGAAGAAGTACACAACTTAATACAGACGACCTCGAGTCCTTTCCGCATCTCCCAAACACAGTACCTACGACACAAGAAGACCTCGCTCACAATCAACCTTCTACATGGAAGGTTGTAAGTAACATTGCCACCAACCTTGTCAAGAGTGCCTGCACTCCACAACCGAATGCTGCAGCTGAACCACCACCACCTGCGCTGGGCATCGGAAGCATCTTTTGTGCTGCGATCAAGGCCTTACGTGGACTGCTTCAACACGTGTCTTCACCCATTGCCATCTACGTTGTCCAACTCATTGACACATTTACTCCGCTCCTGCAACAATGGTTGAGTTAACTCAACTGTTACTACTTAATTACCATTTATTATAATTATGACAGCACTCACTATGGATGATAGATACAACAATGCGACTATATTCCAGTGGAACGCGAGAGGCCTAAGGGGGCGTCTATCTGATCTTAGGCAATTTTCACAGAAGCATCAATTTCCTGTCATGGCCATATGTGAGTCAAGGCTTCCAAACAATTTTCGTTTTTCTGGGTATGAATATCTTTCTTCAACCCGGACTACAGGACCAAGTAGAGTCATCCTTCTCCTGCGCACAGACCTCAGTTACGTGCATCACGCTATTCCACCACATCAAGATAATGAGTACATAGTGGCTACAGTCACTGACGGCAAGGGCAACTTCACCATCATTGCTGGGTACATCCCACCGAAAGCTAAATTTGACGAAGGCTACCTCACTGACATTCTCAGCAAGTACCCGTTGCCATTTGTCTTAACAGGTGATTTTAACGCCCATAATTCTGTATGGGGCAGCACGCACACCAACCCTCGAGGTAGGAGATTGGCCGATATTGCTGCCTGTCACCATCTCTGCCTAATGAATGACGGTAGCCCTACGTATATACAGAATCTTAAAAGTAGCAGCTGCCTAGACCTCACATTCGTTTCGCCATCGCTAGCATCTCAAGCAACATGGTTTGCCGACATTGAATCAAGAGGTAGTGATCACGTGCCCACCTATACGAGGCTTGGGAATTTTAAAAATATGAAAACTCATCATAAGATTAGCCATATCAATTGGGCAAACTTTCAAGAAAAAATGACCGAGGAATGCAACCAAGAGATGGACTTACCATCATTCACAGAAGCCATCACTCGTTCATTAAACCAATCAAGAGAGCTAACAACCTTACCGATTAACCAAACTACATTCAACGCCGAATATGAGCGACTTCGGGCTATTCGCCGGCGTGCTGAGAGGCGAGTTAGAAAGCATAAAAGGCCCGAGGATTTACGTGAGTTCCGACGAGTAACTAAAAAAATCAAACGTCATTTGAACAAACTTGCAAAACGTCGTTGGCGGAAAATGTGCTCAGAACTTGATCCAAGGAAACGTACTACGAGAATATGGCAAATATCAAGAGGTCTTCGAGCAACACCGCAACAACGCTATCCGTTTCGGGCACTAGCTCTATCGATGCAGTGTTCAGATATAGAGGCCGCGAATCAGTTCTGTATACGAATTACGCAGGCGCAGTCTACACACACAATCACACCGAAAACGCCACGGCCGACACCACCGTCAACTCTGTCATGCATGGACGTTGATTTCTCTCTGAACGAACTCGAATCTGCTCTTGCATCATGTAGGCAGTCAAGCTCACCTGGACCAGATGGTGTTACCTACTCGGCAATTGCACGACTCGGACCAAGTACAATCAAATGCCTTCTTCGACTCTTCAACCAATCCTGGAACGAAGGCGAGCTACCTACATCATGGAAAGTCTCTCAAGTTATACCGTTACTAAAGCCAGGTAAATCACCCCTTACCATCACTTCCTATCGACCCATTGCGCTTTCAAGTTGCATAGGCAAACTCATGGAACGTATGATCTTGGCGCGATTGGAATGGCATTTCGAACATCATGGTCTATATTCAAATGAATCGTCAGGCTTTCGACGCGGCCGGTCTTCAATAGACGGGGTGATTGATTTAATTACATCGGTTGAACACGAAAAATCTCAACGACGAATGATCACAGCCGTATTCTTGGACATCAAGAGTGCCTTTGACTCTGTGACGCATGATGCTATACTTGACGCACTAGAAGAACTAGAAATAGGAGGGCGACTCTACAAGTGGATCTCCAGTTACTTAACTAACAGGGCAATTTTTGTTGCTACGGCACAAGAAAAAACTACCCTTTATAATGTCACAATGGGTGTCCCACAGGGTGGCGTACTAAGTCCGACATTATTCATGATATGCCTTAATGCTCTCAGAGTGGAACTTCCAGAAACAGTTCGATCATCGGTATATGCAGATGATATCTGCATATGGGCCTCCGGAGTTACCAGAGTACAGGTTAGAGCTCGTCTTCAAAAAGCATTAGGCACGATTGATAGATATCTTCTTCATCGCGGATTGACCATCTCTCCATCGAAATCAGCCGCCATAGCTTTTACTAGACGTTGCATGGATAAATACACCCTCAAGGTATCCGGCCAAGCCATTCCGTATGTAAAACACCACATATTTTTAGGCATATCGATCGATCGAGGACTGACATGGACGCCTCACATTATGCACCTTAGAAAAAAATTGACCAGCTTTATACACCTCATACGTTTTATATGTGGCACAACTTGGGGTGCGAAAGTAACATCAGTACTGCGTCTTTACAAAGCTCTATTTGAGGGTCTATTGAGGTACAGCCTGCCAGTCCTTCATGGGATGTGCGCCACGAATTTGAAGCGACTACAAAGTGTACAGGGCTCTGCTCTTCGTGCTTGCTTAGGTGTTCCGCACTCAACATCGACTTTGGGTGTTATAGCAGAAGCTGGGTGCCTATCCATTGAAGCACTTCGTGCAAAAGAAACACTACGTGTACACTTACGCCACCTAACAAGGCATGAATCCCACCACCTTGCCCGGATACAATCATCCAGGAAGGATTCAAGCTATGCTAAATTCTTGATACAGCAGGAGCCAAATATACCAAAGCAGTTTGAAACACCAAAGTTGGCGGATGTTCCACCTTGGACACTAACATGCCCTACAATATCACTCAATATAGATGGCATACAGAAAAAAGCGTCAACTGCACAAACTGTATTAAAGCAACTGACCCTCTCATTAATCAATATCAACCATCGGTTCAGAACTCACATTTACACTGACGGGTCAACAACTCATCAAAGCTCAGCTGCCGGAGTAGTTATACCCATGGAACAAGTCGTGCTCAAATTCAGACTAGGCCACCGCACCTCATCAACTGTCTCGGAGCTGGTGGCCATTAGGGAAAGCTTGAAATATATAATACGCACCGAACCACGAGCATGGTCCGTTTTCACTGACTCAAAAGCTGCACTCCAGAGCATGCAGCACTATCTACGACGTGGAGCAAATGAACAGCTGACATTCACCGTAGTCAGCCTCTGCCAACAGGCCCAACAGGCTGGCCACCACATTCACTTTCAATGGATCCCGAGCCATTGTGGCGTCCCTGGTAATGAGGCCGCTGACCAAGCAGCAAAGAGCGGTCACGACAACATATCTAGCATTTCTGTTCCATATTCAAGAACTGACGCTGGTGCAACGGTTTTCTGGGTCGGAAAAAAGATAGGTGCGGCCCTCTGGGCAAGCCCTTCTCACCACTATCCACGACTTTATAATATAGATCCTGAACTTAAGTTCAGACCGCCCAGAAACCTTACAAGAAAGACTGAATCAGTACTTCACCGAATCAGGCTGGGCGTTGCATTTACATATAAATATCTCCACTGTATTGGGAAAAAACCTTCTGCAAACTGCTTGATATGTGAAGAAGTGGAGTCACTAGAACACCTGTTATGCACTTGCACAATTTATGACGTGGAAAGGGAGGTGCTTACTGAAGAACTTTCCCAGCTGGACTCCCGACCGTTCTCTCTCCAGAAGATCTTAGGAGCGTGGGAGAGCCCAGAAAAGCTAGCTGATGCGACCAAATACCTACTACGTTTCTTACGTGATACCCAACTTATTTGCCGTCTTTAAGGAGCAGATATAGAGCTCCACGTTATTGTGATGTGTTTTTATTAATTTCCTCTTCTTGCCCTTCTTTGGCATCCCCTATTCCCCCTCCCCAGCACAGAGAAACTGGTTAATGCAAACTGCATGGAGCGACCTCTCTGTCTTTCTAAATAAACCTCTTCTTCTTTCTTGGCTTCTATTTGTGCCGGTGTTATGAAGCTTGAAAGTGGTGGTGTTGTTGTGGCTCGTACGGTAGCGTTGCTGAGATTATGAAGACGGTAATAGACCTTTATTCAGCGTTGCCGTGCATTAAGATTCAAAACCTCACCTTGACACCAAGGGAACCACGTTTGCGCGAGCACGGAGGCAGCAGCCAACGGTCTGAGAAAGAATTTTGCCGCCGCCACGACCGCCAGCGATCGCCCCAACGGCAAGAAAACAAACGACAAGCTCATTGAGGTTTGTGTAGTGCTGACTACTGATTCATCGGACGACAAAGGTGAATGATGTAAAACGCAACGTAAGTTTGCCAGCGTTGTGCAAAACGAATTCGTTTCGTTGAAAATTTAATTTGTGGAATTCGTTAACGCCTTGAAAGTTTGACGGGGACTGCATTGTGAACGCAGGCTTCACACAAGTGTTTTCTACAGTGTGTGCTTTGGCTGCATGCATATAAAGACGAAAACACTGCCTATATAGTGCATGAAATAAAATAAATTTCGTTTATCTTGGTAATGTTGACTATCTATTGAGTGCTGTTGATAGTAGTGGCGTAGCCAGGAACTTCTAAGGGGGTGAGGATGAAGCGAGGTTGAGGTGGCTGGGATGTTTATGACTTGGGGTGGGGGGGGGGGGGGGATGCTGTCGGAATTTGTGTGTATATTCTAGGGCCCGCCGGATTTGGGGAGGGAAGGAGCGAAGCCCCATAAACCCCCCTCCCCTCTCGCCCCCCCCCCCCCCCCCCCTCTGGCTTTGCCACATAAGGGGAGCATCCTACATTCACAGGCTGCAATAAGCATGTGCATAGCCACTGAGCTCGTACCACAATGGCAAGATAGTTGCTGACATTCTTCACGTTACGTAGCAGTTCTTTCTTTAGTACATATGCTCGCTTTTCCTTCACACATCTACTCTGCCTCCGCTTGTCGTTTATGCTTGATGGTGATAAGCCAACAGTGCGTATTTGCTCTGCATCACAGGCAAATTTCAAAAATCCAGCTCACACTACTCTTTAATTTCAATGAGTTACTGTCACTTTTGAAAGGAAAATCTATTTAATTGCTATAATAACCTTTACATTTAACACACGTGTGTTGAATGTAGGACAATTCTATTTTTATTGTTTTTCTTGGTCACGAAGATGACAACCATCCACAAGACACTGGCTAAATTTCTCGTCTACAGTGGGTAACAATGTTACCATACTCTGTCAGACTAAACTGCTGCTGTCTAGACAAGTAACGATTCATTTTAGGACAGACCTGTTCGTAGTTTATTGCAGGGCATCGAAAAGTGTTCTTATGACTTTCCGATGACTGACTTTCAATTCCAGCAGCTTGGCGTGAAAAGGTAAAATATCTAATTGATACAACAAAATGCACACAGCAACCCATCCAGATTTTATTGCGTGATTTACATTAGCTACAGACCGCAACAAATTGTCAACTGAAGACATAGGTACTAAGCGTGCACTAACTTCGAAGCGGTAGAAACCCTGAAGTTTAAACGTCCCCTTACCACCATGTTGTTAATGGCAAAATGGTGTTTGCGGCAAATTGTTGGAGTCCTTCAGAATGGTGACGGTCTCCTTCAGACCGATGATGACGGTGACGAAGGTTTAGTTAGAGTCTAAGTTTAGTCAACGCACCCGACGACGTCAATGTGCTTGTCATGGTGGCGACGAAAGCCTTCTTTCGCACATGCCTCAGCTGCCTCGGTTCGGGGTTTCGTCGACCCAGCCGTCTCTTCCCATCCGGTTGACAGCGATACTCACGACGGCCGTCACGGCTCTGATCACCATCCACTGGGCATTAGCTATGTGATCATCGGGGGCAACCGCGCACTTGCAGTTCCCCGCTGCGAAAAATCTCAGTGCGATTCAATTAGTAGCTGCTGCTCGACGGTCGTCATCTCTCATCGTCGCCGTCTCTCGTTGTCACACTGCGATCACACGGTGCTTTTCGACAAGCGGTATTGTCGTCAGAAACAGTCGTCGTGCATCGCGAAGGCAACCGGGTGCTCGCGGAAAACCCGTCATTGTACGCGTTGGTCGAGCCATCGTTGAGCAACAAGCATCGCCGCCATTTTCTACGCTCTAGAATCCTGCCCAAAGCTTGTTCCCCTTCGTGCAATAGAAAGAGAAGTTAAAAGCACGAGCGCATCACCCCGAACAATCTTGCACGAACGTTGGCTTCCACTGCGCAAGCGCGCCTGCTCGACAGGGACGTTGAAAGCCCGGAGCACGTTCTTGTAGCTCCTACACCCGCACTAGCTCGCACTCATAGTGGAACAGAGAGTAGGGTGTGTCGAGTAATACCGCAGTTAATCTAGTGACGCGACTTCCGCTACGAGCTACGTAGGTCGGACGTGGTCATACGTCACTTTGTCGTCACGGTCCGAACTCGAAGAGCGACAGCTTACGGCAAACGGTTGCTTTCGTGTTTCGCGAACGTTCCCATGGGAACCGCGTGGAATTATCACGCGGGCTGTGGCCAATAGGAGCGCGCGGTTCGTACGGGGGAGGAGTTTTCGAGAAACACGAACGTGACCGCTTGTGACCAGAATAGCACCCCTGGGTGGTCATGCACTAGAGAGTTTTAGTAGATCGTTCCGATACCCCCGATAGCCCCGATGACGATACAATGCATGCGTAAGGGAGGCGGTGGCGGAGTATCGGGTATCGTTATCGGAGTCATGGGAACGATCTACTAAAACTCTCTACTGTGTCATTCTTCCCCTCCGCGATTTAGTATAGCTTGATAAGGGGCGAAAGTCCCAGCAAGCCAATAAGGACTTCGCAGGAACACACGTGCTTCCATGTTCTTGTTGGCTTGCTGGAACCATTCGCCGCTTCGCTGGATCGGCCACGAACGCTCTCTAGCGGCCTCAACTAATTCCTAAATCACCGTGGGCGATCGAGCTCGCTCCTATAACTGACATCGTATAAATATGCGATGGAATACGCGAGCGAAGCATTGGTGCGCAATAGCATCGCAGTTCTGGAGATCGATTAAGAAAATCCAGTCGATTAGCACTTAATCGGTTAGTTAATCGCGTGATCGGTCTCCGCAGGTAACGCGGTAGGAATTCCTTACTTACTAAGTCTGATTTATAGAAGCAAGTAGCAATTGCTCGTCGCTCACAATGTGTTCGATGATTATCGGACCTTCACCGCACGCCGCGCCGTAATTAAACACGTCAAAAAAAATTACTCATTATTGCTTGATCCCAAAATTTCTGTTAACTATCGCACTTCCACCAGGCGCCACATCATGATTGGGTACAGTATGCAGAACGAAGAAACAATTAATAGAGAATGGATGAGGCAACACTTTCTGGGTAAGTTGTCGGGTGAGGCCAGTTGTCTTGACCAGACTGTTGGAAGGAAACAGAGAGAAAAGTAAAATAAAAAAAAAATCTGAGAACAAAAAAGAATGAAATAAAAACCGATGTGGGAAGTTGGAACGTATAGATCTGGTGCGTGGCTTCTCCTTTTTAGAAAGACAAGGGAAGGCGACGTTCCTGTAAACACGAAGAAGTGTCTTGGCAGCGGTTGATATATATATGTATATATATATATATATATATATATATATATATATATATATATATATATATATATATATATATATATATATATATATATACTGTATGCCACGACGTCCCTCTTGCATGACACCTGTGCATGGCTAGTGGTCAGTGAGAACTACCCTTCCAAAACAATCGCCTTTTTTTCTCCTCTTTTTTTTTTCCACAGAGCCCGCGGTTTTTGCGCATCCGTAAAACCTTTTTTAAAGCACGAAGCATTTGCGCATGCTTTGTTTCGGAGCTAGCACCACCGCTTGGTATAACTTTAGAGAGATAAATTTTGGTATGAGTGAAAAGCACAAGGCTTTAGAAATAGTTATTTGCTTGCGCGAATGCTCGTGTAAACTAAGCATCTTGCAGGGTATATACACTCTCCCACGTGCACTACTCTACACAACCATTCACTTCGCCAAGGACCGGGAGGTCTTGTAGTCCGACCTCTTCCGGATCTGTAAGTGGTCTAAACCCCAACAAATCTGTGTTGCTCAGAATAAGCCGAAAACGAAAAGTGGACGACTTTGCGTACAGTGCCGATGGGACGAAAATACAGGAGGCCACTGGCACAAATCTATATATGTACTGTACCCGTTTTCACCTCAAGAAAAAAAGCAAGTTTTGTGCACTGTTCATACGCGGCGCGAAGTAGTTCTTACGAGATTTTGTTGACGGAGGAAAAAGCGATGCTTTTGGCATTTGGAACGTGTACGTCTTGATAAGAGAACACATATCTTATCTAAAATGCACCTACATATCTCTTAATTATCCACATAAAGAACGATATTAGTCATGCTCCGCGAGGCACCGGACGTTTTTTACTATGGTTCTTGAGGTGAAAACGGTTTGATTGTAGTCGGTCATTTCGATTGCATGTGGACTACCTCTGTAAAAAAGCCTACAAATTAAGAGGTCTCATAACGAACTACATCGAGAGGGATGCGTCAACTTGCATTCTGCATGCTCTACACCGCTCTTGTACTACCGGTTCTGGAGTACTGTTTGTCTATCTGAAGCCCCCGTCAGGCTGACCTACACAAGAGGCTTGAGTCGACTTAAAGAAAAGCCACTAAGACAGCGGTTTACATCCAGGATGGCAGGGCTGGCAACCTCCCCAGCGAGAGACGTTTACAGTCTCTTCGGTGGTCTATAGACTTGACATGCGTCGACTGCTCTCCATGCGAGTAGTTCTGTACAAGTACCTTCATGATGTCACTGTTATC